TTCTATTGTATGTACAACATCTCTGCTAGCTTTCATATATATAAATGTTTGCAAATAGCTACATATCAAATCCTTTGGATACAATTGATATTTCTTATTGTCCAAAAAAAATTACAACCACTTTTAATAGATTTATTTCTTAATAAAAAAAAATCAAACACTTTGAATATTTTGTAACTTTCATATTATGATAGAAAAATAAACTATATTGTTGTATGGCATAATTTACAATCTAAAAATACACTGGGTACCTAATTGTAGAGAGTTTAGCTTTGACTTATATATGATGTCTTAGCTCACAAAAACTCCTTTATTTTGCACAAAAGTTCAAATTATAACAAAATTCTTTAAAATATTTTCTTCCCACAAGGGATATTTTTACCTTGAATTTTAAAAATTTATATCTCTTAATCCAACTATTTAGTTTTTTTTAAACTTCTATATAATGTAGATTTCATCTTTAAGCTTTATCCAAAAAACAATGAATCATAAATGTATTACTGATCTTTTGGCATCTTAGAAATCCTAGAAGGTACTCTAAATCCTAATCTATAAGCATCCAAATATTATTTTCCTCATATCTCAAAAATCCAAAATCCAAATGCCACAAAAGTTATGCATAATATTTATTAACATAATTATACACAATTTAAAAAAAATTGAGCCAAAATATTTTTAAATTACTCAAGATATAGCTCAAAACACAACCACTAGTAAATCAAGTTACTTACTATCCTTAGATTTAAAGCGCTAATTTCAACTTCTAATATTTTCTTTATTCCAACTTGAAATCCATCAAACAATATGCCAAAAGTCTAGTTGAAAAAATGTTCTCTCTAAAATTGGTTGCCAATTCTTTATTGCTTTCTGTATATGTGCGTTATATCCAAAAGAATGATAATAGGTACAAAATCAACACCTTAATTTTTAGCGCTCATATCTCTTTCATATAAACTCCAAATTATAGCAAATTTGTACCAAAACCATAGCCAAAAAACTAAACTTTCTGATCTTAGCCTCTAAAGCTCAAATGGCCTCAAAAGAGTAACCCTAGTCCATAATAAGGTCTCCAACAGCCTCCTTGAAGCCCATTGAGCATGATTTTTAGCCAATAGGAATGGAGATTTTTATCATCCATCTCTATTGATCCATATGGATGTCCTAACTTTTCTTTTTGCTACCAAAACCCCTCTCTATTTCCTTTTCTTATAAGTCCTACACAATATATGTCCTAAACATCAATCAAAAGAAACAAAATAAGACTTTAAGGATCACTAATGTCTAACAAAGGTGACTCTAAATGTATAAAAGTTACTATCAATAAAACCAACTTCAAAAGTCACTATCAAAAGAAAATAAAGTTATATAAATTCTAATAGAAGTCCTTTTCAAAAACCTCTTTTTGGGGTAGTAATCTATCTACATCCTATAACCAACAAAAATCTACTAACATTGTTGTCACCATGTTATCTAGTATATTATGTATTAAATATATAAACATATTATTTTCATATGATAGTTAAACCATAACATGACAATACATTGCTTGCTCTATTTGTAATTTAATAAAAGGGGCAAATTTACCTTGGTTGAGTTCACGCACTACCTGAAACAATATGGAATTATCCACCAACTCAGCATAGCTTAGACACCCTAATAGAACAAGGTATTTAAATATAAGAATTGCACAATATTGAATTCAATTTGTGCCATGCTTATCAGCAAGTGTATATCTTTGTTTCTTTGGACTAAGGTACATACATTGTACTTCAACTCATGAACAATAACTCCACTCAATCTAACAAAGGCCAAACATCATATGAACTCTTCATAGACAAACAACCTGACCTGAGTAAAATCAGAGTCTTCAAATGCCTTTGTTTTATTTACTACAATTCTATACAATGTCATAAACTTAAATCCCACTTTACTTTGGACATCTATCTAGGCTTGGACAATATTTTCAAAGCATATAGAGTATATCTACCAACATTCAAAAATATTCAAATATCATGAGATGTTTTATTGGAAAAAATCTATTTTTTTAACATTAATTATGACCTCATATTTCGAATCAATAATTTTGCTCTTAATTTCTTTTAAACCATTGAATTGTCCAACATTGATTATATAGATTGCCTTCTAAATATCTTGAGTATACAACTATTTGATTTATATTCCAACTTAATAGAATAAAATATCAAAGCATCAATTTCAAAAATCAGACTATTTAACTTCAATTCCATTCTAACTAAGCAAAATTTATCAAAAACAATGGTCACAAATACTGAATAAAACTCAAAAAATCCAATAAAACCATCTTCATGTGACACCATGGCACTACTGGCGAATTTTTCTCCTCACGTTTTTAACTTCAATAATATAGATGAGTAGTTAACTTCCAACACAACTAATGATCTTTCTTCTTATTGTGAAATAACTATTGATACATCTCAAATGACACAGACTCAAGAATTAGGACAACTAAGATCAATTGCTCAAGCTTGTTGGATCACAAAACATCTAACTTTACTTCAAGTCTACTTTTGTAATTTTTTAGATTTGTCCATTGAATCAAAGTCATATGAAGAAGTAGTTCAAGACAAAGGTCAAAGAAACTCAATGATTAATCAAATCAAATCAATTCATGACAACAAAATATGATCACTTACTACTTTTTTTAAGAAAATGGATATATAAAGCAAAAATGAGAATAATAAATGGAACTTTATATAAAAAGAAATCATGACTAATAGTTTGAGGTTTTGAAGAACAAAAAAAACTTAACTATGAAGAAACTTTTACTCTAGTAGTCAAATGGGACATAAAAATATATATATCTATGAAGAAACTTTTATTGTTCTATAGTAGGTAAACTTATACAATTAAGTCACTTCCAACCTGATGTTTCATACTCCATTAGAATTGTTAGTCATTTCATGATGAAATCATAAGTTCTATATTTAATAACAACAAAAAGAATCTTAAGATATATTATAGAAACATCAGATTATAGAATATTCTACCACATAAATTCACCAACAACACCATTAGGCTATATAGACATAGATTGGACAAGAGACTTAACTAATGATTGATCAACAATGGGTTTTTTTCAAACTAGGAATCAATCCAATCACTTGGCTTTTAAAGAAACCATCTATAATTGTTCTATCCTCATCAAAAGAACAAGAAAGATCTTTAGTTGTCTATAACATCCAAAGAATCAACATTGCTAAACAAACTTTCATATGATTTTGCACTAAAGATTTTAAAATCAATACCAATATTTTGTGAAAATGAAAGAAGCATCAAAATGACAACAAATCCAAATATCCTTCCATATACAAAACATAAAGCCACATATCATCATTCTATAAGAGAAAAAATAGAAACGATGAAATAAAATTCATTTATGTGCCCTCTTTGAAACAAGTAGTTGACATCTTCACCAAACCATTGGGGCGTGACCTATTTGAAAAATTCAAAAATTCAGATCAAAATTGAACATTATTCCTAATTGAAGAAGCATGATCCTAACTACAATACCATCTCTCTCATCTTCTCTATCCTTTGCTCATAGTTATAAGCCTCAATTAGTACATCCAATTCTATAGGAAATAAATCACCATCTTCCTCTCTCTTAGCTACTACATCTTCTTTAAATTCAGCTATCCACTTCTCCCAAGCTTGAGACACCACTCTAGTGATTGAAGAAGATGGAACACTTGGTCACTAACTGTAGAACTACAAATCAGTTTTGGGATTGCCACTTAATGTAGAAGGGTCTCTGAAATTCCGCACCAATATAAAGCAGCCCCTTTTGACTTCACCAACTACCTCCTGGAAAATTGCTTCCTCAAAAATGAACTCATCCTCCATGTTTTGAATTTCAAAATCAATAGCCATTGATCCTCCAGAAGCACATGTGCCCATTGAGTCAAACACAGAATCCTCTACTGGACTACCAACTCTCAAGAAAAAGGCAGAACCTGGAAGTTCCGATAACTGAACCAGATCGTTACCCAAAGCGCAGCTTCACTACGGTCAACATACCAAGATCTTGCGATTATCAAGACCATCTTCGCCAAGCTCCTGAAAACAAATTGCTGATGCAGATTGCTCAAGCCCAGTAACCTCTCTTTACACAAGAATTTCATCATCAGTAACCCCCACATCGAAGTCACAAATCCCAGACTTCAACCACATCGACGGACTCCTGCAAATCCACCTCAGAATATTGCTCATATTGACAATCCAAACAAGAAATTTTGTGAGAACTCCCCACACTCAGCAAATCAACTTTCTCCTCTTCATACGACACCTGGTCACAACCTAGGGTTACAGAAAACATGATAGATAGGAGACACCAAGCAAGGATGTAGTAGGACAATAAACAAACATTCTGGGGAAAGAGACTCGTGAATACCAAGGGCAGAACTAACACAAAAAATTCTACCACCTCCAAAAATAAATCGTCAACGATGAATCACTATCATCTGCAAGAAGCTACCAGTTTTTAGAACTAGGGCTCTTAATTGTAATTGAGAGATGATTGTAGATGATCTCGCAGTGAGCGAGGGTATGGGAACATCCATCCCTACTTATCATCTACTCTTGATGACCATGATATGGACGAACTGAGATCTGGACTTAGCGCCGAACTCTCAGGAACTAAACTCTTCCACTTAAGTCTGCGAGTTTACAGTCGCCGGATGTAAATCAAATGTCTAATTTTTCTGGAATCTCTGTTTTATTCTTCTCTCAATAAGCCCTCGGCGAATCGGTTGCGCCGATGCTGCAAGCGAGGTCCATGATCCACACAAAAAAACTTCCAAGTCAACAGCGACGGCGCCAGTCTGTGCTAATGAGGGGTTCGCGCAATGACCCACTCGGCAATGGGAAACTCGTGCCCTGGAGACAGTTCCCTTCTATAGTTTCTCTAGTGACGAATCGGTCTAGAAAATTAGCTTATTGGAGGGTGCTCATCTTTTTGAACAGAAGGTTGTCCTGCAACTCCATATTTTGTGTGGCTCCATTATTGGTCTGCGTGAAAAATGCCGGAGAAGAGACGCAACTGGTTGGAGGAATGCAATTTGTGAATTTATCTGGGTAATTGTTCGGCCGTGTGGGCTTCGGCGGTAACGGTGAGCAGTAATTGGCTCGAAAAGTGGTTCTGGAATCTTGAGTTGCGGCTTGAGGACGGAATCTGAATAGACGGTGTTTAGCAGGAGGGAGAGAGAGAGAGAGAGAGAGAGAGAGAGAGAAAGAGATTCGGAGCATACTGTAGTCTGTACTAATACTCTGCGAGCTCCTAAGAGCAGGGAAAAGCTCAGTTAGAGGTGGCCGGCTGGTCTAGTTGTAGAAGTTTCTGATCTTCAACGTGAAACGGTCCGTTGTCGAGGTGAGGATCTTGAATTGAGCTTGCCCTTCTCTCCGCTCTGAGTTTCCTTGGTATGTAGGCTTTGAGATCCTGTCGCAGTCCCAGTTGACTGCAATCTAGATGGCTAAATTGTGCAGTGGTGAATGGCAATTGAAACCTGTTGGACAGCAATTGGTTTTCCATGGGAAAGATTCGCTTCTCACTGAGTGTTCGCAGTAAAAGCTTGATGAAATCTGTAGTGCTTATGATATAATGAATTCGTTGGACGCATGCCGACTCTGGGAGTTGGGTTTGAGAGCACCTTGTGCGGGCAAATTTTGCTGTCTGTGTTCTCACTCTGGACCTCTAAGCTTCTGCAAAGAACATTACTATATCTCACTATCATGATAATGTGCACGGCTTGAGGGTCACTTCGAACGTCGTTTAGCAGATGGTAGCGTATGTAATTTTAACTTGAGTATGTAATTACAAACTTTGAGAAATTTTCGGTATCCCTCTTCCATAACTGTTTCGTGCGTTCACAATGATGTAACACGTTTTACAGATGGTTTACCACTGCAAAGCCATCTGAGAGGAGATCCGCTGACTGTTTTGTCCGAAAACCTGCACGGAATCTTCGTAACACATCTAAACAAGAAAGAATTAAGAATGTGGCCACGTTAAGTTAAGAACGGGTCTTCCTCTTAGTGCTTTTGAAGACCCTCATCATTCTATTTTGTTTCTTTGCTCCAGGACCATAGTTTCCTCTCTGCATCAACAAGGGTCTGTTGCGTATACTCTGGTGATTCGCACACCATGGAGGCCGATGACACGTCCGCGAGGCTGTTGCCCTTGGCTTCGTGGCAGAGCACACACAAGAATTCAACAGAAGCGAAATTCAGCCTAAGGAATGTGGTGCTGTACGTGTCGCTGCTTGTAAACCTGCCTGCCCTTGTCATAGTATTTCATCCCATTCAAGGGTTCCTTTGGACTCCTCCTCGTAGTGAGCAACCAGCCGCGCCTCAATGGGCTGAGGCTGTGCAGGCAGCAGAACGGGCCGCTTCGAAGTGGTGCTCTGGCAACGGTAACGTGTTCGTGGACACTGTGGGCATAGACGCTGATGGGTCTCCTTCCTGCGAATGCAATGACTGCTTCGCCGGGCCTGATTGTTCACTTCCCCTGCCGGACTGCGTGGCTGATGCTATCAGGTTATCGCTTTATACTGCGAAATACTATTCATAGCTAAATGGTTTCAAATTCCTTGTGCATCTTTTCAGAGTGTGAGTTTCTGCCATTGCTAAGACAAGCTGATTCCATATGAGCTTTTTACCTTCATATTATCGGCATCTTTGCAACAGTTGATACGAATGTCGTGGTATGCTCAACAACACGGCAATGATTATCTTGAAATACTGTTGATTACTGAGAGAATAAAGTTTTGGCAGTGGGGACCCACTTCTGTTTGAAGCATATTGGAGGAAGAACTCGGACTTGGGCGCTGTGGTGATTCCAGCTTGGTATCGTATGGGCTACCAAACGCGAGACGTGACGTCTATGCCATATACGGAAGCCCTGGTTGCTTCAATCAGAGAGCTCCACGCCATGGTGGGGAATGCTGTCACTGAGGGACGCTACATTGCGTTCGGAACAGGATCGACGCAACTCATCAATGCTGTAATCCACAGTCTTGCACTCCAGGATCCGGGGAGAGTCACTCCTGTGGTATCCAAAGCTCCGTATTACAACGTAAGCAAACATTCACCAGTCTCACACGACGATACTTCCTACAAGCAATATTTGGCTTCAACAAATTTCCGCCGATTATTTGCACGTCTTCTGAAAACACAGTTTGTTTACCCGATTTAGGTTTTGTACAGATATGTGCTCAACGGAAGGAATGCTTTTGTTGCAGGCTTATTACACGCAAACAGAATATTTCAAATCACCTTTCTACAGTTTCTCAGGAGAACCCGATCGCAAGGTGGGACAACAAGGACCTGCTCAAATTGAGGTGATAGCATCTCCAAACAATCCAACCACTCAAATTCAGGAAGTGCCTCAGAATGTTAGTGGACATGTTGTGTATGATCACGCATACTATTGGCCCCACCTGACCCCGATCACTAAGGCTGTTGACTACGATATCATGCTTTTCACTCTGTCGAAATTGACTGGGCATGCTGGGAGTCGTATTGGGTAACGTCAACCTTCCCTAACCCTGCATTTCATCCAATACCCGCATATCGGATTGTTTGCGTAGTACCAAGGATTCTTCGATTCACCGTGCTCATAATATTCGTAGAAATCAGTGCTCAGAGACCGTCTATGTTGTTGAGTGAATTGATTTTTCCTGATGTCAAATAACTGGCTATCCTCACAATTCACTGGCAAGAAAGCCTGACGCTTGAATGTTTTGTAAACGGGGTAGCGTAGAGTAGATTGTTTTGTGAATTTCAGTATCGGATTTCTGACCTGCGGCAATGCGTGCAAGCAGCTGGGTGATCCTCAAGGATTTTGATCTTTACACAAAGGTGTTGAGATATGCGGATGTAAGCACTATCGGATTAGGGCATGAGGCCCAATTAAGAGCATCTCAATTGATACGCACCATCATCGATGGTTACTCGGAAGGCAACTCAGGCAGGGAAGGGATATTCCATTTTGCTCATGATGTGTTGCAATCTCGCTGGGCCAAATTGCAAGCCATTTTCCAGAATGTCTCTCGTTTCTCTCTGCAGGAGCTGAAGCCTGGTTACTGCTCCTTCTTCAAGCGGGTCTCAGATCCCTCCCCAGGTGCGTGAATCTCAGCAACCGAGAGTGCTAAACCCTAACAGCGCAAGCTCACCTTCTGATCTGAATTAAACTGACAAGCTGAGGGCGCTTCATGTCGTTACAGGTTATGCATGGATTCGCTGCAACCGCGAGGAGGACGCGGATTGTTCCGCGGTGCTATTGTCTGCTGGTATCATCGGACGGGCGGGCCCTATATTCGGTACAACGCCTCGTTATGTCCGATTGTCACTACTCAAGCGGGCGTCACACTTCGACAACCTGGCAGACCACCTCCTCAAACTCGTCGCTCAATCTTGATCTCACCTCACAACCTTGAAGGTCCTAGTATGATCTTCCACCCTACGAGGTTTCATTTGCATTTCATTGAACCAGAACTATTACTACCTTTAAATTCTCCACGGCTAGTCTGCTGCCTTGATTTTGTCAGGCGGTCAAACTTGGCGAGGTCAGTGTCAACTTCTACCGAAGCAAGATCAAGCCCGTTTCCGTGGGTACCGACACACACATATATCAGCTTCTACCAGTTCGACAACACCTAGTTGTTCCCATATTGACCACACCCAGTTGTTCCTGTATCGACAACATCGAGTTGTGTCTGTATATACAACACCTACTTGTTGCCATATCGATAACACCCAGTTGTTCAACTATTTGACTTTCAAACTGCGCCACAACCCAGTGTGGATCCAACACTGCAGGTATAATTGTAATTCATAATCATCCATCTAATCAACTAGATCTGCTTCAATAATGTGCTGAAGCGAGGTTGGCGATAGGTTCATCTCCAGTCTAAGTATTCTAGATGTGGGAGATCGTCTGAAAAACAGATTTGAAAGTGGAAGAAGGCAAATTCTGTTCGAGATTTGTATGTAATAGTAACTAAAATATGTAGTTGATTTCATGTTTATTTATTTGTTTACTTATTTATTTATTCATTTGTTTTGTGTGTGTGTGTGTGTCTATGCTAGGGCACCGTATTTTATTGAGCTCGTTTGTTTCTTCATTTGTGTTCATTAGATCATCTCGGAATGAAAGTTGCTGGATGGTAGGTCTAAATCCATACATGCAAATTGTAATATTGATACAGTGGATTCTGTGATTTTAAGCAGTGTATCATATATAAAATTTTATTTATTTAAATAAACTTGAATAGAATTGCAGCACCTACAGTGAATTTAATAAAATATATAATTTTTTATAAAAAGAATAAAATTTTACTCCAGAAAATATTTCTAACAATATCAATCACTTTAAAGTAATTCACAAATAAAAATAGAATTCTTATTAGGATTTTGATTAGATTGAGAATTGATCTATCTAAAAAGATTTATTTTTGTAATATCTATGAATAAGGTTTTAAGGTACATATTAGTATAGTAAATAGAATATAATATAAATTTATATACCATTTCATGGTATTATCTTAAAATGATAAATAAATGGTATATTTTGAAAATTTGGTACACATATGTGATGCATTATGTATTTGATTTGTATCAAATTAATCTAATATTTTTTTATAAATAATGCATTATCTTATTAAAAAAATTTGAAGATATATTTTAAACTTCTATTTAAAAAAATTAAGAAACACATAGAATATAAGATATTAGATACAAGATTGGAATAAAATAATAGTTTAATTGCATAAAATTTTGTATTAGTAAGACAAAGATATCATTTTATTTGATTCATTATTTATATTATAGAAAATAGATAAAATATATGCTTCTTCTAGAAATCCTAGGAATTATAGAATAATTTTGGAAGTTCAATGAATCTTTTGCATATACTTCTAAGAGATTACAAGAATTTTTAGAAGTTTTTATATAATCATGAAATATTTTATAATGCCATAAATAGATATAAACTTTTTAAAGATTTTTAGGGATAAAAAATAGTAATATTTTAATGTAAAAAATTGTAAAAGGTACTAGAATTTTTTTAAAAGGTACTTGAGATTTTAGTTTGTTATATACTTGTGATACTTAACTTAGTTCTATTTATTAAAGTTTTCTTTTACTTATTTATATTTCAAAAAAAATTATAAATATTTGTGCCACTATCTGCTTGATATATATTAATTAGTAATTAATATAAATATAAAAATTAGAAATGAGCTCAAACATGTAATAATATAAAATTTTCATAGAAATCTTTTGGTTTAAAATATTAAAGATAAGAACAATATATTCTATAACAAAATAAAGATTAGACTTGTATAAAAGCCAATAAAGAATATGTTTAAAATAGATCCTTCAAATTCATTGATTGAACCTTATTAAGTTTTTATCTTCAACAAAATTAATATATTGGCTTTTATATATATATATTCTTTTTTCTTTTATTTATAATGAGCTTTAAGTTATAGTTATGAGATTAAATTAAAAAATTTAAAATCAAATATTTAATAATCTACATAATAATTATATAGGTTTATTTTTAAAAATCTATAATATATCAATTAAGACTATAAGTATTGAATAAAATTGAATTAAAAATAATATATGCAAAACAAGACTAGTCTATCTTGAGAGTTTAAGACTCTTCTAATCCACAGCCACATAAAACCTCCTCACAAAGTAGGACAAAATGGATCAAAATAAAATTGAACAGAATTAAACAGAATAGGACATAAAAGACAAAACTGTACAAATGGAAATAGAACAAAATAAAACTAAATATGAAGATGCTAAACCAAACTATATTAAAGGAGAACATCCAAAGCCATATCTGATGACATGCCCAGAAGGCCTTGGCCAATCCTATTTATGCTTTGTTCTACTATCCTAGATTTTTTAGAATGTCCCTAAATAATGGACCTTATTTAGATAACTACCTTAAGCTCCTTCTAGAAGAATCTATAGTGGATCCTTTCAAAATAATTGCCTTAAGCTCTTTTTAGAATATTCTATGGTGGATTCTCCATGGTCTATTAACTTAGCCTTAATTCTAAAAACTTCCATAACTTTTCAAGCATAGTTTCAACTATCTATTCTTATGTATCAATAATACAAATATCTTATCTATACCCTGTTCTAGATAATCCTCCTTTACTAATACGGAACATCATCATTTTACTTTTGATGGTATCTCCAAAATGTCTATTGGCAATGGATGAAGTTTTGTCCAAGTTCTCATATTGCATTGTAGATAGGATAACCTTTCTAAAAAACTTTGTACTGAAGTTGTGGACGTCCACTGCTATGATGAAGGTAGTAATGTTCCAAAATGCCGTCTACTTCATAATCTTATTAATCATTAACTACAATTGGTGGTGGTGGTGGTGGTGGTGGTTGATATTGATCTAGAAAGTGTTTTGGCTTGATATGAAATTTCTTTAGTTGCAAAATATAGAAAATTGGATGGATTTATAAAAAGCTTGTAAACGTTAGTTAATAGTTAGAAGAAGCATAAAAAATAATATCATGCCTTTTTAGTTATTTATAAGAAAAAAATAATTTTTAGTTGTTTTAAATTTATTTTATTTTAATATAAAACTTATAAGGTAGGATTTTTTAAAATTTGATATCATTATAATAAAAAAATTATGAAGATTTATAGAATTTATTAAGAATATTTTAGAAATTTTTAGAGTAATATTCAAGACTTTGATAAAAATGAATTTTATCACTTTGAAAGGCAATTATGAAGAAATCAAAGAAGATTTGAAGATCTTAGGAGGTTTTGTGGCTAATTTGGTATTTTTGAATATCATTGTGCAATAAAAAATGCAAAAACAATTTCTTCTACTAGTAGAAAATAAAAGGATTAGTAACTAGTGTAGTCCTTGTAAGAAAGGATGTACTTAAGTCTCATATGTATTGTAGCACTTTGGATGTAGGTAAGAGGATTAAACTAAGGCCTTGTCGCCTTTCTATGACATCCATATATACTATTTGTGAGCCTTGACAACACTCAAACTCTTCATTTCTTGAAAAAATTATCCTTGAGGTAAAAATTATTCACTTGATTCTTTTATTATTTACATTCTATCTATAAACCATCATAACTAATTTATAATAAATTATAATTATATATTTTTATAACTTTGAAAAGATTTTTAAAATTATGTGTGTATATATATATATATATATATATATATACTTATTACTAAGTAAAATTCTAATGAATAGACTATGAATAGTTTTATATTGTGTAATTGCTTAATTGTACTTATATCATTTTTATTTTATTTTATTTTACTTTTTTACTTCTTCAAGTTTATACCATTGATTACAAATAACTACTAATTGAAACCATTTTATAATTTAGAAAGAGAAGTAGATTTATCTTCACAATGACTTTTTATAATTTGAAATTAATATTAAGTTTGTATAGTTCAAATTTATGAAATTTAAGAAATTTATCTACTTATACTTGTTTTGTTTTTTTTTTTTTTAAATTGCACAACTTCTTAATGTAAATATTAGATTTTTATCATAAAATTCTTTCTACATAAATTGAAATAATATCTCTATAGTTAAAATTGCAAATACATAAGTCTTTTACTTGAAGAATATTATAAAAATTGTAAAGATTTGTAATTGTTATAAATCTATTTACACATCTATTAAGTATAGCATCTATAATTTATTTTTATTCGATCCAGTTAATAAACAACTCTAATAATTATAAGTCAAATTAAAATAGGATAATCTATAGCTTCTAATATCAAATGCAAATTTATACAAACGAGAGTAGTTTATTCTTAATATAAAATCAAAAATAGAAAAAATAAAAATATAATAAAAGAAAAATAAAGCTAGATTATTTATAAAATTTTAAAAACAAAATATTATTTCTTAAGAAGTAGAATAATTCAATTAATTTTTAAACAAAACAACTATAAAAGTTAGAAATCTTATCAAATATCTAAGACATCAATTATAACAAAATCTTAAAGAGAAAATATACTATTTTGTCATTAAAAGAAAAAAGTATAAATATAAATATATATATATATATATATATATATGTATATATATAAGATTAAAATAAATTAAAATATTTATTTTTAATTATAAAGAACTTAAAAATTTTGAATCAAAACTATAACACAAAAAAGACATTGACAAGATTAAGGATGGCTTTAATCTTGCCTTTGTATACATCAGCTTCCAAAAAGTTCTTGCAAAAGCTTCATAGGAATAATAAGGCTTATGGTCCAGTCATCAAGTTATAAGTTGCTTTCAACATAACTTCCTAAAAGTGAGATACTTATAAAAAAAATGTTCAGTAGCTACATGACATATTTATAAAAGACTAAATATTTTATGTACATTTAAGATACTTCTTCAAAATTTCTTAAGAAAGAGTTAATCTTTCCAACATATTTCTATCTATTTCTATTTACTACTATTTTCTATAATAATTTAGGCATGTGTTATAGTTTTCTTCTTAAGTACATTGTATATCGTAAAAATAAAATAAAATAAAATTTGATAGTACAAACATAAAATTACTTTAATAAGTGTAATTCTTAGAAAATGAAATATAACTTAATACTAATTTGAAAATATAATTAAATTTGGAATTAAAAATTATATTTTATTAAGTATTAATATCTAAATTATATGAATAAGTTTATTTTTTAATGATCTTTTAGTCTATATACAAAGTTTATATCTTTATAATCAATAAAAACAAAAGAATTTTTTTAAAGAATAAAAATATTTTTATACTTAATCTGAATATTCTTTAAAGCATTGTTAATTTTCATTAGTTTATACATGCAAAAGAAATCACAATTTAAATATGTACAATAAAATATTTCATTATATATTATATATAAAATCAATGATATTCAATAAAGTTTTATAAAAATAGGATATATTCTTATTATATTATTAAAATAATAGATTCAAAATAAAATTAAAAGATATATGTAGGAATAATATTCTATATTTAAAAAATATATAAATATATCTATATAATTAATATATTTTTTGAATGTAGTTTATAAAGTACATACTTTGTAAACCATAGATACTATTCTTTGAAACAAAAATTATATCAATATTAGTTGATTAGAGAGAATTGAGACTCATTTTCTTCTTGGAAGTATTACTCCTGTCTCATTTAATGCATACTCCTTATGGCTAAAGCTTCCTAAAAATTGCACTTCCTTCTTCATTACTTGTAGCCCCCACAATTCTCTTAGCAATTTTAAACCCCCTTGCACCCAATCACCTTACAAAGAAACAATTCTTATCCTTGTAATCCCTATTATTTCCACAAAAGACATCAAGATTGGTAGAAATGAGTACAACCCATAAACAAGTAATAAAGCAATTAAAGCAAAACCTCCAATACTCACAACAACTACAACAATCAAAGATAAATAGGGGGAAAATAAATAAATAAATAAAAAATCTCCACTCAACTATTCTTCATGATAATACAAACTCCCAACCACGCTTTTTCAGAAAATATCTTTAATTGAGCTTTTAGGGTTTAAATTTGGACAAGCGAAACCCTTGCACCAGGTCTCAAGGATACTCGCAGTACCCAAGTGTAGGGTTGTCCTGTCAAACCGGGCTAGGCGGTTGGCCCTATCACGATTGATACCAGGAGAGACGCACACGTAAGTTGATACCTGGGGATGCGGGTACGATGTCGCCAACGACGCAGGGGGTAGATAAGATAGGGCACAAGAAGACCAGGTGAGGGAGGGAGGGGTGCGAGAGCTGGACTGGGTCGCCTGGGTCGCCTGGGTCGCGCGGCCTTTCTTTAGACTCCGGGAGAACCTGCCTCGCCCATCGCTGTAACAATCTGTTGTCGGGTGAGTCGGATCAGATCCCACTTCACAATCCTTACGTGGAATCGCACGCCGTCGCTGCTGATCTCGCTCTCTCACACATCGCCATTACTCCATCGCGAGGCAGCCGATGCTGTGGTGGCAGATAAGCAGGGTTCTCTGGGACAGATTCTTCACTCCCTCGCGGTGTACAAGTGCCAACAAAGAGCGCAATTCCCTCGTCCCATCTCACTTCGCTCAAGGTCCCTTGTCGTCGCTAGTTTCAGAGCTGCTACTTTCCTCGCCGGCTTGAGTGAGAAGACGGTTTACAGCGAACGGGACGGCTTCGGGTGGGTTCTGGAGCCTGTCTGTTGGGTTTTTGTTGGGTTGTTGAATTTCGTCCCGTGGTGTGTATCGTGATGCATGGGAGTGTGGGTTTGGCAGAATCGCGGTGAGTTAGTGATCGGAGCTGTGCAAGGGGTCGTCTGTCAACATGTACGGCCTTTCTAGACTCGTACAGGGCCAGAGGAGTGTGCTGTCGAGGTGCGTGCTGCAGCACGTTCGAGTTGGCGGCGGCGCTTTCTCGTTTGGGTCGCAGACAAGAAAGGAAACCGGGCAAGCTACCACGAAGGAGAGCCTGGAGGAGCACGGCTTTGAGAGCACTACCATTGCGGATATCCTCAAGGAGAAGGGTCAGCAGGCGGATGGATCCTGGTTGTGGTGCAGCGTGGATGACACAGTGTACGATGCCGTGAAATCGGTAAGCCTTTTGGGTTATTCGTCTGTGCCCAAGAATGTGGCCTTCTCGCCTTGGAAGTACCCCCAGGATCTTCAATTGTTCTCCAAGTTATTTATCGGATCGCAGTGAATTTGTGCCCACTGTCATGTTTTTCTTGCTTTTGTATACTTATTTGACGTACCCGGCGGTTCGGTTGGGTGCAGATGACTGCACACAATGTAGGGGCGTTGTTGGTGGTGAAGTCGGGAGCGGAGAAGAAACTCGCCGGCATTATCACTGAAAGAGGTTAGTATTAAGAAGGAAGGGAAACAGGTTGGAATTGATATGATCTGTTTTGTACACGAAACATTTTGAAGAATTGGCGTGTTGATTTAGAAAATGTAAACCTGTCCTCTTGATTGTTCAGTTTTACTTCCATTTGTTGCTCTCAACTTGGAGCGAGAATTGGTCTCTGGGACGTGTTTGTAGAGATCTTGTCTTACCAGAAAGCAATAATAAGATTTTTTGGTTTATGTAATCAGATTATTTAAGGAAGATCATTGTACAAGGCAGATCGTCCAAGACTACCAAAGTCGGAGACATTATGACAGAAGAGGTAAATTATCCTCTTGGTAGAGCTTCTGAAGCTTAATTTATTTTCCTACACGTCTTTTCACATTTCATTCCAGACCTTGGCCGGACGATACTGTATCGATTGTCTGTCAGCCTTTACGCTCTATATTGCTTTGTGACTATCTCTGGACTAAACTGGGATCCAAATGGAAGCTAACGGAATTCATCTGACGTCTAATATTGTGTTCTCCTATCTATGCAGAACAAGCTCATTACTGTGAAGCCAGATACTAAAGTGCTGCGCGCTATGGAGTTGATGACCGGTAGGCGTCTCATCAATCCTTGTTACCTTCGGTGCGATACTGTGCTTGCATGTTTCCTCTTTTAGCATACTTTTCGATGGTTCTTCACAGGGATGAAATCGTATTGAGATTCTTAGATTTTTGCAGATAATCGCATTCGGCACATTCCTGTGGTGGAGGAGTCTGGAATGAAGGGAATGGTGTCTATCGGTGATGTGGTGCGTGCCGTGGTGGATGAGCACCGCGAGGAGCTGCAACGCCTCAACTCCTTCATTCAGGGTGGATACTAGAAACCGTCTGGTTTCCTTTCTGAGCTGATAATGACGATGGAGGTTTGATACGCTCGACTTTGAGGATCAGTGGCAAGCGGAGCCCAGGCTTGTGATATCTTCAGATATATATCTATATATCTAAATATGTACATGTATATTTATATTTAGATATGAATGTACATAGACAGGTCCAAGCAGTCGGTGCGATGGTTGACAAAACTTAGTGATGTAATTGCTAGAAGCAACTACAGCGTGATTTGAAGACGCATGTTTATCATGTTCTGAAGTAAATATAGTCATTGCGCTTTGTTTTCCATGATTTCACTCTGCTTTTGAGATTGATTAAATTCGAATTTGACCCTCTGTCCCGATACACTGTGCAGCGGAACTTTTCTTTTTGCCTCGTGCAACTTTTCATATGTTGATATTGCATCTAAAAATTTAGGGCTTTTCTGTGCACTCCTACATTGCGGAGGAAGATGGTAGAAGATAAAATTTTCCGGTTAATCAAACATTGGTACTAGCGTGACTAACCACATCATTCTGAGAGAAATGCAAAAGTTGAGCTCGCGAAATGAAGTTGATTGTGCCCAGACCACGCCAATTGCACGTCACAATTTAAGCATTAGTAAGCGGTCGTTCTACCTGTCAAGAGCGCAAGCAACATCCCCGATTGAAACAATACATTCTCTGCTATCATGCTGCAAAATTCTGATAATTGTCAGAGCTATGTATACATCTCACATTTACAAATTGTAATCTGCTTTTTTGACCGTATTGCAGACTTGAATTGATGTAGTAAACGCATGCAATTGTTCTGAATGTGTATGAAGTCGTCGAGGAGGAATCAGTCAGCGAAAATGGCGAGGAACCTTCTCGGGTGAGATCCCAAGAAGGGTTCTTACTAGAGATTTGTTCCTCTTTATTTTTTGCATTTAAAGCCTTCATTCACGTTTCGATTCCTGCGATCCTAGGTTTGGGAAACACGAGTCAGACGGCTTCCTCAATGGATTGAAACTTCGCTCCCAGCTTCACATAATCCTTGTACTACCTTTGCCCGCCGCAATGCGTAGATGATATCTTGGAAGAAGGAGCATCTGCGCCAATGTCAATGTGCTGTTGAATCTGTTAGTCTAGTCAAGCTTTGGCAGATAGTAAGAAAGAGCGTGTTAGGGTTCGGAAGGTGTAAGAAAAGAGTGTAGGTGGCAAAGTCACATGTGTCAATAGATCGAGGAATTTGATTTTGCAGGGACTGGTTCCTGCGTTGTTGCAGGATGGGCTCTAGGGCTGGTGTTCATGAGAGTTCAGAATGCGCGAATGATAGTATTGAGTATTTTGAAAACTTTCAAGCTTTTGAGGGTTTTGAAGGTCTGAGAATGAGCAGGAAGGGGAATTGAAGAGAGTGGCAAGAGGTGTGAGGGAAAGTTGATCTAGAATCGGTATTGCGACCGCGCCATTTCTGGTGTGCTTCTCCCTATCTGTGAGTGCTCTGCTTTTCGTGGCAATTTTCATGTACGGCGAAGCTTTCGGAACGCCGTTTGCTAGTGTCAGAAAGTATGGCCAGTCGTTCTCAGAGCTCAACCTCCCGTATACTAACCTGCAGAATCTTGTTACAGTAGCTGCGCTCCCCTTATACACGAGCTCGAAGTGCGACAAGCCGGATGTTGAAAATTCCTCTTTCGTGGAGCCCTACCAGAACCAGTCTGACTCACAAGACACTTTCATACATGACATCAAGGCTGGTGTAGAAGCCGCCGCTGCAGTCACAGCCGCATTGCTTTTGTTCAGCGGAGGTGAGACGTGGAAGGATGCAGGGCCCAGCAGTGAAGCTCAAAGCTACTGGAGTGCCGCGGAATCGGAAGTCTGGTTTGGAAAGGAGGACGTGCGATTGCGAACTCTTACAGAAGAGTTCGCCCGGGACACTTTTGAGAATCTGATGTTCAGCGTATGCCGATTTAGGGGATCAACCGGGCACTATCCCACGAATATTACTGTAGTGAGCTACGATTTCATAAAACTGCGATTCACGGATGTCCATCGCCACGCTCTTCGGTTCCCAGAGACTTAGTTCTATGTAGGCATTCCGACACCTCCTGCGTCCAAGGAGGCAGCGATGAAGGGAGGGAGAAAGTTTTGGGTATGTTCCAGGCGGACCCATGTGGCTGCAAAGGAGAGTTGCTTTAGAAGAGAATACTTCGAGATCCATTTCTCCGAGCTGTGCCATACCCTGTGGGATGTCCTGAAATGCGAGGACTTTTCAGATATTGTGCCTTTGAGTATTACATCGGGAGCCTTCCTTGGTCGCACTGAACGTGGAGCGGAGCTAGGATTTGTGACCTCATCAGTAGAAACCACTTGAACGCATTTATTACCACTGTCTTGTTTCAATAGTTGAAGAAACAGACAGACTGGCAATGGGAAGTGTATAGCTGACGCTTGTGAAGTGAGCGCCAGGGAGAGAGCTCACAGCCAAAATGGAGCGTTATGACTCGCTTGTCTTGTTCTCCATCAGCGTCATCGTGTCGTTATTCGTTATCTTGCAACATTGCATACGACGAATGATTAAAGAAGAGCGATGAAATAGAGTCGAGCTCGTTTAGTTGGCGATTCTGAACCGCGACCTTGGTTTGTCTTTTCGCGTCCAACTTGTTCACATGCGGTATTCTTTGTCACGTCCTCGAAGTATTCCAAGTTGAGGATGGGCTGCTGCTCTATCCCAGAATCCGTCGACGTGGAGCATGATTGTCTTGTAAGCACTGAGCGGGGATCAGCTCTGACCGCGAGCTATCTATTCCTAGAGCCGGTTCTAGAACAGTCGCAGATTGGAGGGTACCTACAAGAGAATCCGCCAGAGGTGGTTTAATGAAAGTTAGGATCTAAAAAATGCCCTGGTTCTCATTAATTTTCAGGGAGTTTTTACAATGTTATCACAGTGCTGCAACAAGAGAACACTGGCAGATGTAGATCTGTTGAATGAGCAGGTACATCATATTCTTTCATAGCAGTCTTGTAAGCAGGATTGAGACAGCACAATACAGTGTAGACCGTGTCTCCCATTCAAGTCACGTTTAATCGATGAGTATTGGTCCCCTGGCAACATACTCCATTGTTCAAACCTGCACTAATCCTATTCAAGCTATCCAAATTTGTAGCATACGCTGAGAAAGCTCATGTAGACAAACTTAGTGCTTGCGTTTGTAGGCTTTGTAGGGTAAATTCTGAACCTATACTCTCTCGTAGATACATTGGTGGCAGCTCCATTTGAATCAGTGTTGAAGATGTATCAATTCAGTAATAAGTATTAAAACAATCTGCATTATGGATTGAGATGCAACAGACGCAAGGTACTCAGTTAATGCTGTGGTTTGGTCCATCACTTTGCCCGTCCCTGAAAATTGTAATGCTCTGGCGACGGATTTAATACGTTGCTAAAGCTCTAACTTATTCAGCCTATAACCTTCCTAATCTTTCAAGGAACATGCTGGAAGTTATTGTGAAATCTTGGCTTAGATCACCAAGAGCCCATTAAGCGTGAAACTAGCACAGGTGTCATTGCCAGCTGTCTGTCTTCAATATGTCATTCCAATAATCATACCTACGGAAGGACTGCTCTGCACTTTCTAGACACCAGGGCAACGTTATTATTTCCTCCATTAACACCAAATTGAAAGCTCATTAATATACAGTTTGGGAGCTTGCAAAGGGACAACGAGGGAAGACGCTTGTGTGTTTCAGAACACTGGTAGTCGTCGCATCAGATGCTCAGCACGAAAGCCTGGTTGCCGGCGCTTCTGTAGCAATCTATCCATCCATCTGAAGCCTGAACCATCTGCAACACTAATCTGGTCACCTAGCTTAGTGTTGAAATTTGAGCTGGTTCAGTATCTTCGGATCCCAGGACTCTGCAGCTTGGGACTCTGGGATAGTTGATATACGATATTAAACTGTTCAGCTATACAATATTAGGAATGAGCCTTCAGAGCACTCACACTTGAAGAAACCACGAATTTGATGTGGTCATGACGAGGCCATTTGTGAATTACCTTTCAAATACGCGATAATCAGAAATACTGTAAGTATTGGGCTCTTGGAAGTACTTACTACAAGATCGTCGAAAACAGTACGTTAGCATTTACGCAAGAATTAATCAACGATTTTAAAATGAAACGATTTGTGCTCGCTAATTAATTATGACGTACCAGCAAGACCTATTTGGCATCGATAGGTGCCTACGGTACTTTGTCAGGGAGAAAACTAAAGTAAGCGGACCACCTGCAATGAAGCCGCCACAACTGACAACTGCTACGCATTCGTTGTCGACGATCATCTTCCTCCTCCCATCACCGTTGGCACTGCCGTTGGCTCTGCCGTTGCCCGGCCCATTGCTGATGTCAGGGCCCAGGAGGCTCACTCTCACTCTAGTTAAGCTCCCTAGCCCTCACGCCCTGATCATCCCATCATCGATCAGCAAGTGAACCTTCGGATGTTGATTGAGACCGCTGTCCAGGTCCAGCACTGCCCTCTCGCAGTACTGGTCCGTGTAGCCCATACATTCTCTTTGTGAAGGGTCTCTGAGTCTCTCAGGTGTGCACATTCTATGCAGTTAATCAGTCGCTTATAACTTGTGGTCCTCTCGGCCTAGTGGTTGCGCATTCAGGTACACTTGGCTACCATCAGTTTCGCTTTTGCCATTGGACTAATCTTTTGTGTATGAGTTCATTCGACGAGCCCGTCCAGTGGAACGGTGCCCGCCACAGTGCCCTGCTGATAGTGTTGGTCTCTAGAGGTGTATATTTGACGCTCATTCAAGTGTTGACAGCACAGATGTATCACACGGATCCAGACCCGTGAGCATCAGTGACGCATTGCAGTTATCGATTCGGTCGCTCCCAAATGTGCCCTGTATGACGTTCTAAAGTCATTTGAGATTCTTCCTGTACTTACAAGGTTATTGCAATGTGGTCAAGTTCACCAGCTCTGATCGTCTTACTTTGAATGCCCTCTTGCAGTTCTTTGTGGGCGCGTCTATCCTAACATCAGAGTAGACCAAGGGCATTGGATGTGTCGCTGTCTGATCGGTTCCAACTGATTCTGTGTCCAGCTGAGTGTAATCTGGCTTCCGATACCTGAGCTCTTCAACAGAAGAGTGCGACGATCCAGCTCCATACGTCAATATAAGTGCAATCGCTTGGGGTTAGACGTCTTCTGGTACGTCCCTTGACACACATTGCTCAACATGGCTACTCTGTCGCTACTGACTGATTCCATTTAGTGCTGTTAGTGGTGCGAGACCTGAGCCACAAGGATGTCGTAGATTCTTGGTTCGTTTTTCGACCTGGTGGTAAACATAATCTGTTTGCTAATAGATTCAGATACACGATGGTTAAGTTCAGATATGCGATGTGACACCTGGCAATGCCCTTCCCTGGAGTTCCCATTATCATGCCGTTGCTAGTTTGGTCCCCGTCGTCAGCTGAGGTGAAATGCACTCAAGCATCATGAATTGTACACCAGCGGTATTATGACCCTGGCATTCTCTGATGTGCAGAAAATATGGCCATTCGTGCTAGCTGCTCATGGCTTCTCGCTGTTGTCATAATAGGCACACTACTACTTGACCCAGCTCAAGCGAGATGGTCTGGGTGAGTCTATCAACCTACTGCGAAAGTACTTCTGATGTAAACATAAGTTTCAGTGCTTTGGCTTCACCTTCTCACCATTTGTATCACATCCTTGCAGTCCTATTCCATCTCCAGCGTACGCACCGTCACACGTATCCTACCCTCCGAAGGATTCTCATCCAACATACGCCCCTTACTCTCCACCTAGTGAAATCCTCCCTCCTGCTTACGCGCCAGAAACGACGCCAGCAGCGTCCTCTCCTTACACCCCTCCTGCTGCACCGTCTCCTTACACTCCTGCTGCACCGACTCCTTACATTCCTCCTACTGCACCGTCTCCTCACACTCCTCCTGCTGCTCCATCTCCTTACTCTCCTCATTCTGCACCATCCCCTTACACCCCTCCTGCTGCACAATCTCCCTACTCTCCTCATTCTGCACCATCCCCTTACACCCCTCCTGCTGCACAATCTCCTTACTCCCCTCATGCTACTCCCACACCCGTGTACGCCCCTTACAAGGCACCGTCCCCCGTTGCACAATCTCCTTACACTCCAGCTGCCCCTACACCTGCGTACGCCCCCTACCAGGCCCCATCCAGTCCAACTCAAGCTCCTTACTACACTCCTGCTCCTGCGACTTACGCCCCTGCGCCGGACGTAGCTCCGCCCACTGCTGAACCTGTCCCTTCACCAGCATATGCACCCGTCGTGTCTCCAGCAGGCCCTGCATATACCCCCTGGATGGCTCCTTCCGGATCTCCCACCCCTACCCCGTCGTACTCTCCATCTTACACACCATCCTTTGAACCAGGTAAATGTTTGTTGTCGTTGTCGTGTCATCTGTGGGTCCAGGATCGTCCTTTCGGTCTGTCTAGAAATGGCTACGGTAACTTGATTATTCTCGGAGTTAAACTAGACCCTGGAATACTGTAACCATTGTTTGTGTCCGTTCCAGTTCCGTCTCCTGCACTTTCACCTGCACCAGTGCCCACGCCTGATTCATTTTCACCGGGACCAGCCCCTGCATCTTTCGCGCCAGCCAGCTCTACGCCGAATCCGTCCGCTTTGACACCCGGAGAAGAAGTTCCTCTCTCTAGCGACCCTATCGCAGCGCCTGCTGATTCTGTATGTCTTGCTTTCCATCTCCTGCTTGATTTAATGTACCGAGTGCTTTCTAGCGTAGAGATATCCGTAGACGCTGACAGGAAGCTGCTGTAATGCGGTGCTGGTGTCCATGTGTGGTTAACCGTGATTTCTTCCAGGTGAGCGCTGGATCGAGTTCATCGACGCGGTTAAGGTGGGTATTTGCGATAGCATCCGTCATCACTGCAGTCGTGCAATTCACGATGTGAGGATGTTTATCTTTCTATTATCTGCCACTTCGATGGCTCCACATTCATATTTTGTTCCTACCAATTCACATTCTGAAGCGGGAATTTTTTAGTTAGCTCGCATACTGAGATAATACTCTTCTTGTAAAGGATTTTCGACCTCGCCATTATAAATAAAGTCTTTGACTAGACGAACATGTGTATAAGCTGGTACTTTCAACGGTACTTGAAACATATGTTGACGGTATGTCAATAAGATAAGGAATAGTTGTGCAGAAGTTAAATCGCCAAAATTAAACTATATTCAATGCTACTTCGTGGGCCCAATACTCTAATTAAGTCAGATTCATACTTCGCAAACGTCTCACTGTTATTATAATTGACATCATATGGCTACAACCATGCACTCTAATGCAGTATGATGTACACTCACTGTACCAACAACTTCAACTAGTCGGAAAGTCTTCTCTCGCTATTGCATCAAATGCAATCAAGCAAACGATTTTGATAAATCCTTTCTCCACAATATGTCTAGTAACTCTTCCATGATTTGTCTACCTGGACAAAGGGATATCTGTTTTAGTTCCTCTTACAAGGAGTTGAAACCTGGAGTTGCTTCGACTTATGTTTAGGGGCATGACACGAACTGACAGCGGCCGACGAATGATTAAAAGTCATTGTGATGAGTCTTCGTGTATACGTATAGAAACATCAACACCCACACACACACACACACACACACAAACTTGATTAAGTACAAATTTTGATACAGTACAGCTTGGAATCGAGCAAAAGTCCTGATCACCGATCTGTCGGTGATGTAGTGGGCTCAGAGACGGAGCAACACGTCGACCGCATTCATTAAATATTATAAATAGGTAAGAAGATGAAGCGATATGGTGAAGTCCCAGCTCAGCCAGTTGGAATTCACTGAATCTCACGCGGTGCCCACTACCTCGAGGGAGAACACAAGCCCTACGCGACACTTTCTCCAAAGAAGCAAGGGCCCCATGAGATGAATTCTCCTGACTCTTTCCAGCAGCAACATCCCAAAGAGCCCTGCCAAAGTGGACCCCAGCGGGCAGTCGGGCGTGGATCTCCAGTCTCCAGCTCCGAGGCCACACGACAAGCCAACGGGACAAAGAAGCTTGGGCCAAATTCAGAAAAAAAAACCTACACCACCCACACATGCATCAGGTTATTGTTGGATGAATACGCTCACCTAATTTCCTACACACGAATGTAAATCATAATCAGTGATATATATAGTGTACAAAGCAAAGCTAGATCATTCTTTATAGTGAGCGAAACTTTTGTCGGGGTAGAGACTAGCATTAATTAATTGTATAACTGCTGAAAGTATGTGGACAAAGCTATGCACAATATGTTTTCAACGAACTGCCAAGAACGTCTTCTAATGGAGGACTTGAGCACACGATTACAAGGAAAAATTTACAATAATAAATTGTCTGAAAATGATGATATTATTACTCATATCTAGAATGTAAAGAATGATCTAGCTTTGGTCAGCTAACGGCTTTCCTACCAAAGTAGAAGTTCTTTAAGAGTAAAAACAATCTATTAATCTTTTGAGACATTAGCCCAAGCCACAAGTAAACTATAATAACTCAGTGGAAGAATGGACATTATTTTTGAAATAATCATATTCTTGGGAAGTTCATGCTGTAAGTCTTTCTGTAACATTGGACAGCTAACTGCTCCAAACTATAGAGAAATAAATAAATAAATAAATAAATAAATAATGTTTTTTTTCAACACATTCTTTCACACTGGGGCCAACAAATTAAAAGTTTACATTATCATTCTAATTCAAATGACAAAGCAATGTTACACATGACAAATTACAAATTAATTTTAATCCAAAGAATTGTAATTTTGCATTCATGACTTTCAGTTCATTATCTCATGCATACTTTATTAGCTTTCACGGCAACTTTTAATATGTGGACTCTGCTGCCACCAAACACATGATAGATTGATGTGTGTAATTCAATACCTTCACACTTATTCCTGAAGGTCATTGGCTTGTAACTATAGCCAACATCTAAACTCTATAGGGTTAAGGTTGCAAAACCATTTGTATCATCCAATAAGTTAATGATGCATCTTTACCCAGATTATTAATTAAAATAATTTTTGTTCTATCACTTGCTCAAAATCTATTTTTGGTCAGAATTATGTCTAAATTTGGAACTTCTTTTATTGCTATTCTTAGAGGCTACAAAGTTTTATTTAAATTTGGTGATACAATTCTTGAAGGTAAACAAGTTAAATGGCTCTATCAATTTCTCATTGAAGTTGTTTCGTTGAACTTCTCACCTGGCTCATCCAAATCTAATCTACCTATGAAAGAATCAAGATTTTTTTTTTTTTTTTTTTTTTTTCTTCTCGATAGATCACCTTCTATTGGTATTACTTCCTAACATATTTGATTGCAACATATTAATCTTTGGCACAAGAGAATGACACATGTTAATATTACAACAATCAAGAAAATGTTCAACCACAACTCTCTTTTTGATTTTATTCTTGGAAATAAAATGGTCACTTCTTCTTTGTGTCATGGTTGTATGCTCAAAAAACATACCAAGTCTATCTGTTGGCATGATTTTAAGAAAATTAAAAAAAAAAAAGTTCCAAAATAATTTTTACATGGAAAATATTATAAAAATTGAACATTTTATCTATTTTTTATTTTCAATATTTTATGTTTCTAAAAGATGATGCAAATTTATATTGTTTTATTTATTTAACTAAAAAAATATCGAGCATTTGATTATTTCTAATAAACCGCCAAACTCATCTATCATTAATTATTTGCTTATGTAAAGTATTTTTGTAATTTGAATTTCAATAAAAAAAATTATAAGATTATGCTATTCATCACAAACTTGCCACTGTTTACACCCCTCAACAAAATGACGACATTGAACAAGATAATCACATTGTTTTTTTTTGAGGTCGCAAGATCCATGTTACATGAAAAAACATTGCGGCAACAACCATGGGCACAAGCTATATAACAGAAGTATACAACAGAATAAATTTTAAACAAAACTAACAATTCACAAACTGGTATTCAAACTTTTTTTGAAAAATGGTTTGGTTACAAATCTTTTATTTCTCATTACAGAATTTTTGGGTCACTTGCATATGTATATGTCAATAAACAAAAAAAAAACAAAACTTGGAGCAAAAAGCACCTCAATAATATTTATTGGCTACTCTATGATTAATGAAGCATATCATTTCTTAAATCTCGTACTAAATAAGATTATTGAAGCTGAGATGCTATATTTGATGAAACATTAGAGCGGTTTTATGATAATGATTTCCCAGTTTTCAACCTCTTGCAACTCTTATTGATACAAATTCAACAGTTCTTTATCAACTTTATGTTCATCTTCTTTCCACCATATCTGTAGGCAGTGTTTGCCCGACCTTTAGCAAGGATTGTAGTAGTTGTTTGTGAAGCTCAAATACAAAAACCTTTTGAAAGAAGCATTGCTTGAGCTTGTTTTTTGGCCACAAAAGTAACTCAAAGGTGTTGCAAGGCACAAGCACCTTCACATAATATACTTTATGAGAATATGAATCTTACATGTGATTTTTATTGAAGAATTGGAAAGCTTAGGAATGAAAGAAGAAGGGTAGATTTTGATATTGGAAGAACCACATGAAAAACCTAAAAAGATGGAAAGCAAGGAAAGATGGAAGAAGATTATTCTTTGTAAATTCTTCCCTATTTCATATTAAATATGGATCAATGTTGTTTAGTGTTATGTGTGCATAATAAAAAATTCTTATTGTTTTGATATATAAAAGATTGGTATATATATTTTTACAAAAAACTAGATAGTCTTCTAAAGTTGTCAATATTAATGGTTGTTGGTTTTTGTATAGGTAACTTGGAGGTAGAAGTAGAGTACAAAAAAAATAAAAAAATAAAAAAAGAAAAAAGAAAAGGGTGGAGTAGATAACTTTGTTATTTATTTTATTGTTGGACTTGAACATGATATGTGATATAAAATCTATTGAAAAGAATTACATGCATTAATAAAAGTATCAAAATATGAGAGTCTTATATAATGTTTTTATATTATATATTATAGTATCAAAATATAATAGTTTTATATTATATATTATAATATCAAAATGTAATAGTTTTATATAATATATAAAATACTCCAACATAATATAATATTTTTTATTTAAACTTACTTATAATATTTTTAATTAGGATTTATAAAACAAAATAAATACACATATAATTAGTTTAAAAAATATTATCTAATAAAAATATTATTAATCGTTAACCAAGGTAGTATTTTTCTAATATGTATTTAAATAATGTTCTTTATATAGATAAATTTTTAAATCTTATATGTAAATTATATTCTTTTCTTTTCTTCTTGTAAATTATAGTTAATAACTTTTGAGCTTTTATAAATATTATTTATTCTAAAAAAAGAAGTTAATTTATAGAATGTTCGTATTAGATTCAAATCAAAGAATGTACATATCTAAGACATGATATTAGATAATTTAAAAACTATTCACAATCATGAATAATAAAAAAAAATATTGAAAATGTATAATTTTTTCGTATTAAATTTTTAAGTAATAATAATAAAAAAGAACTTTAAAAAGTTGATTAATACTTATATTATTATTATATTCAATAAAAATAATAGTAAATAGTTCTTTTTATTTTTAATGCCAAGTAAATTATAATATTTGAAGAAAATTTTAATATTTATTTTGTATTTTTTGAAATAAAAAAGAATATCTAAAATTATTCAAGAATATTATATTAACTTGAATAAATTAAAAATAGATAGGTAAATAAATAAATAAATAAGGTCCATATGTTATTAGGTACCACAATCTTAATCATTTAATACTTTCACGTTTGATTGCAAATTATTTTACTTTTACTTGTAAGTGATTTAGAACACAATTTTTCTTTAAATTTCTTAGAAGAATTATGTTATTTTGATTATTTTTCATTCTAAATTTTAATTTAACAAACATAAAGGTTGAAGATATCTATGATCTATACATTCTATTCTATTATATCAATAAATTATTTTTGAGTCCAAAGATGATAATAAAACTAAGTGAGGTCAATTATAAACTATTATTTTATTTTGAAATTTGATAAAAAATAATAATTTATATTTTTGATAAAAATTTCTTATTCTAATAACTTATTTTTTAAAATTATGAAATATTTTTTAAAATCTACACTAATTTATATTTTACATCAGATTGTTTTACTCTCAAATTTTTATTCTTAAATCTCAACTACTATATATTATAAAATTAAAAAATAAATGAAATTAATTAAAAACTCATAGAATAAAAGCATTATAGATATCATTAATTTCTTCTTTTCTATTTATGTTAAAATATTTTATTTTAAAAATTCTTTTTAAAGCAACAACTTACTATTACATTTTTTTCCAACTTTTCTTACCAATGTCAATCTCATTGCAAATTATAAAGATACATAATGTGTTTTAATATCTTTTTTTTAATTATTTTACATAGTAATATACATAGAAAATATATTTCTTATTTTTATTATTATTCTTATTAATCATATATTTTTATTTTTATAATTTGAGTAGATGTATTTTTATCACAATTTAGATCATCATTTTAGTAATCTTCAAAAAATAATTTATTTTATCAATTATTAATTTATTGATCTTCTAAATACATTTGAAAACTAATTGAATATTAATTCTATTTTTGAATTTAATAGAACCATATAACATTCTTATTTTTATATAAAGATCAAATCTTGTCAAAAATTAATTATTTTTAAATATTTTTAAAAAATCAATAGCATTATTTTACGCAAAAATTCAGCCAACATGTATCTTATTATTACATGTCTATATGTAAGGAGTTGATTAAACCACATTCCAATGTTGTTAAAACCACATTCTCCCTTGTCATCTCATCATTGATTATGCCCATCTTTTTTCCCAGCCCCAATTCCATGCCCCCAAGTTTCCAGCTTATTTCCACATTTTGGCTCCAATTTTCCACTCATTGGCTTACTCCATCTACTGCTTACTGTAGCATCCTTCACGGTGATTGCTTTACTATATTGGTCTTTAATGCTTGCATTGTCAAATATCACATTAGTCTCTATACTCCTCTCATTGCACAGTCCAAGGAGGACGCACTCGCAATCATCTATGACATCATGGAGGAGCAATTGGCTTATAATAAAAACACCACCATGTTTGATTCTAAATTTGTTGACCTCGATGCTAATTCTCTGGGCATTGTGAAAATCTGGGTTTTGTGGCTTTAACAACATTGATGTGTGGCTTTTTCAACTCCATATATGTATATATATATATATATATATATATATATACATATATAATCTAAAATTTTAATGATGAAAAACTTAATAATATAGATCAATCTACTATTATTATTTATTATATAATCTAATTTTTTATTTATTATTCATATATTTTTATTTTAAATTAACTATAATTTTAATATAAAAAATTATAAATTTTGGAATAACATTTAAAACTTATTAAAATATAAATAGGATTAATTATTGACATTTTAATAAATAATCTCCAAAGAAATAATTAGATTTAAAAAAATATATATATCATATATTCATCCCTAAAATATGCTAAAATATCAAAAATATTCATGTATTCTTGATAATAGAAAATATATCCCTCATATTTGTAATGATAGAAAATGTACCCTTGTTGGTGATAAGAAATAACTAACATTCTTTGTTTCGTTGTCCTTTGGGGCCTAGACCATGGATTGCATAGATTTTATTGCACTCATTTTTGGCTTTTCAATAAATTAGAAAAATCTTGCAATCTTTTCTTCTATCAATTTGCAAACCATGCCTTCACTCCAATCTCCTTCACTTAACAAAATCAACTCTCTCAACATGCTTTTGTAGTTTTTATATGGACAAACTTCTTCTACTATCTATGTGGCAAGGTGAGCTTACAAGATTGATGAAATGCTCCAATAGCAAGCCTTCTTTGCATTTGTATTCCAAGTTGAAAAGAGATATGGAAAAATTTGCACAATTCACAATCTAGGCCATAGATGACAACTATACAAGGAATGTTGGTGATATCTTATCACCAACAAGGGTATATTTGCTATTATCAAGAATACAAGGATATTTTTGATATTTCATAATATTTAAAGGATATATATATATATAGTTTTTCTTTATTATATTTATTATTTATACACACACATATATATATATATATATATATATATATATCTCTCTCTCTCTCTCTCTCTATATATATATATATATATATATATATATATATCACTTATATCTGCATTTTTTACTTTCTTTTTGAATGTTTAAACATCCAGATTTAGGAGTCAATTATGTCTCTAAGTCCACTAGATAAAATATATACTGATACAATATGTTTCAATTTGTGCACTGTTTCAATGGAATTGCAATTTGAAATGAAATAGGGCACCATTGAAAATATATACTAATGCAATATGTTTCAATGGTGCACTGTTTCAAATTGCATTCTAACTTTTAAATATATGGAACAGCAAACCGTACACATTTGATTAATAATTAGAAATTCACAAGGTGCCTATTTTAAAGAGACAAACTACAATAGTAAGGTGCATTGGAGAGTCACTTTTACATTAATTAGCCTAACCCCTTCAAAATATAGTTTGTAAATTACAAACCACTATTACGCACATTGACTCTACTAGTAAGTGACTTCCAACACACTTTATCCTCTAAATCCAGCACATGCATTAAATGCAAAATAAAAATAAAAATAAAAAACATGTGTATTTTTATGATATTTAAATAAAACAGAATTGTGATAGTTGTTTGAATTTGTATGAGAGAATATTCCTAACACTGGACTTTAGCTTGGTCCAATTCATGAAGTCCATGTTTGAAGACCCCCTCCTTTTAAGATGGGCCCGGGTGAATCCCCCAATAACAAATACCACGAAAAGCATGTATGTGAATAGGCAAATGGATGAATATATTGACATGGGTTTTGGCCCCTGTTCTCATGTTCTTTATAATGGGGCCATGGACCCAATCCTCATGACATGGCCTTATCAGTTATGCCACCCTGATTGAATTATTTTTATTAAGTTTTATTTCTATTTCCATGGGCTTATTGAGAAAGAGTTGACTTGCAATGGTTTCAGTGCAATTCCCTTGTTGAGGCCAAGCAAGGTGGCAAAGCTAATCCTATTCCCCACATGACCCCACAAATTATAATACTGTTTTCATGTGTTGCCCACTCAAATTGAAAAAAATAAAAATAAAAATAAAAAATCGTTAGACTTTCCTTCATGGAAACCCTAATGTTGCTTTTCTATTAAACATATAAACAGCCAAAAAGAAAAGGGTGGACTCTGCATGCAAGTGACATTTTGGCTGTAGAAATTTTGCAATGTCAAATGAGCAGTGCAATTGTCAGATCAATCATTGTCCTGATGACAATGTTGCTATTTTTTTTCATTTATTCATTCATCAATAAAAATTATCATTTCATAGCTCTGTACCCATATTGTATTCTTGCACAAAACAACTTCGTTTTTAATTATTTATTTATTTATTTATATTTGAACCTATCCCCATTCCTTTAAATTTCTCTACAAATTCCGTTTGTCATTGCCCCGTGATACAAAATTATAAAAATTAGCAACGGATCTCCTCATTTGAAATAGTTAGTAGTTCTTGCAAAGTCGAATTTTTGAATTGTGGGTGCAGTTGGTAGGATTTATTTTAATTAATTGTAGTGTGTTGGGCAATGATCATACTAAATATTGAAGATATTTAGGAGAAAATGACTCTGAAACATAACGAGAGGTAGATGCAACAACTTTCCGACCTTCTTCTCCTTCCAAATATTAAACTAGGTACCGAGGTGACATGGCAACTGGGTACCTAGCAATGAGGAGGGTCGACAAACGACTTGGTACCTTCCGACTAGGGGTGTCGATAGAGACGGGCGGGGCAAGGTCGCAAAACCAGACTTCGCCCGCCCAAACCCGCTTCATCTGGGCCAGCTCCTACAGCGCGGAGCTTCAATCGTCGGCTGAATTGCTCAGCATCCTCCTCTCCCAGCTCTCACCTTTGCGCTCGCCCCACCTCCTGATTTCCCCTCTGCTATCTGCTCTCGCTGCCAAAACATTAGCTTGTGGTGCGCTCGGTTGCTGGGTCCCTGTAGGTTCCGAGGGTGGGTTTTTGAGAGGTGAGGAGGGTAGGATAGCGAAGCGAAGGTGGAAGGTGGGGGAGGAGGATCACGTTTGCCTCGGGAAGAAGTCCTTTCGTGAGGGTGCGTGTGAGGATTGCGGCGTCGCCCTCGTATCTCCGACGAGTCCCCGAGACTAAGCCCATTGCTTTCGGTGTCCTCTTTCGAGCATATGCGTAGCGTTACGGTTTTTTTTTTTTTTTTTTTTTTTTCTTCTGTGAGGCGTGGGGAGAGGGGTGGATTTGTCGTCTCGTTTCCAGGATTTCGAGGCTTTTCGTGATCTTGGAAACAGATCTCAATAGAAGGGAGTGAGTCTCATACATAGCCGCAGGATCTGTGAAATAGAAATTTCTTGTGAAGCATAGTTTTCAGCATTCGTTAAGTGTGGATTTACCCCTTGGCTGGTACTGGAGGCGGCCCTGCGGATCTTGGCGTTTCAAACTTTGGAAGCGTTGGAGGGTTGTTTGTGTGGCGGTGGAATATCGGAGCTCGGGTGTGGGTTGCATATTCCGTGTGTTCTTGGTGACCGACAACTACAAACTCTTCAGGTGTGGTGTTTTTGAAGTAATATCGTTAGGCTGTTGTATGTGGGATGCTCGAATCTTGATGCACACGAGTCCAGTTATTTGCATGAGGGTCCAGTTTCAACACACATGGAGAATGATGCGTGGTTGAAAGCATTTCAGGACTGGTTCGGGTAAAGTCGGATTGCACATTGGTAGAAGTCTCGCGAAAACTTGCTGCCGTCACTGCCCTCTTCACTAATTCTGAAACGAAGTATCAACGCCAATAAGGAATATTGTCGATACTTGGTTTCTGCACACCATTTATGAAAAGTTTCGACAAAAAGATTAGTGATTCAAATTGTAGACTAAAAGTGAAGATTCCTTCCCAGGATGAAGAATCTTTGACGTCGCACTGAGAGTCAGACTGCTTGAAGCAAGCACCTAGTGTTGTGGTCTGGGTTCGTGAGATGATCAAGGGTGTGAATGTTATTATCTCATAGAAGCTCATCGTTTTTTATGCTGTGATGAAATGTAAACTTTTACTATTTTTCGGGACAATCATGCTTCCTCACAATCCATCGTAGTATCTTCTATTCCCTTCGAAATCTGTAACTGACCACGTGCTGTCGCAGACGTTTTGTTTTCTTACATCACGTTTCACTCACGTCGCAGTCCCTGGGTCTTCTCTGATATTTGGGCATGTTTTAATGTGTGAAGTTGCGCAGGAGGTTGTGGAACTGAGATGTCCAGTAGTATGGACCCTGCGCATGAATTTGCACTTTGCGAACCTTCTTAACTTGTCGTTATTCTTCTGCAGGTTCCTTGATGGTGACATAACTGGACGCATTGTAAGATCCATTCAACAGCAGTCCTCCATGAATCAACATCAGCATCAACAGCACATATTTATCCGCAACATTGGATTTCACGAACACTGGCTCCCGCTTGAGCTATGCGAGCAATAGCCTTTGCCATCCCCTCCCCTTACTCGTATTCTGCTTCTCAACACATAGCAGCTGACGCTTCAATCTTGGTTCTTCCAAGCACCTGAAGCGGATCCTGAGTTGCTATTCCTAAGTCGCTCACCTCTGCTGTCATCACCATGCCGAACAAGATGCAGAAGGCTTTTCAGAAACTCCAGAAGAGTATATCAAGCTCAAACTTACAATATCGAAGCATCTACCACAACGATGCGAAATCCCCATCGAAATCTGGAGGCTCTGTTAGGAACGGAAGTGTCAGCAACGGCTGTGCATTCGGCAGGTCCGGCCGATTAGCAGTCAGTGATTTAAGCGACTCCGACGACGACAGCGACGGTTCCGCTCCAGATGACGTGCCTGAAGGGTATCTCGTCGTGTACGTGGGCGTAGAGCGGCGCCGGTTCGTCATCAAAGCGAAGTACTTGAGTCACCCTGTCTTCAAGGCACTGCTCAACAAGTCGGCGGAGGAGTTCGGGTACGAGCACAAGGGAGGGTTGGAGATTGCTTGCGAGACGGTCTTCTTTGAGCATCTGCTGCATCTCATCGAGACTGACGATCCTTCACTCTCCACCATGTAGATTGACGAGCTTGTGGGCTTCTATGCCTACTAATAGAATGTCCGTATGCTTATTGTTTCGATAGGCACAATGCAGCTTTCGAGGCTAGTACCAAGCTTAGGGAAAAAACCGTTGTACCTTTCCTTCATAAATAATTAGCAGCCTCTCTTTGCCTCTACATCGTTCAGGAAGCATGCATTTCCAACTATTGGTAACTGGTCAGGGGTTTTGGGCAGCACGGAATCGATAAACAGTGGGGGAGATTTACTTCTGTCACTAATGAAACCGCCCTTCATAATCGTTCCATTCTTGGATTTCAAGATCACAAGGATTGCATTACCATGGGCGACCAATTCTCATGACTTCACCTACGATTGATACCTGTAGTATCTACGACCACCTTCCGTCCTTGCGTGGAACTAGTTCAAGACGAGTACAGCTTGTAAGAGCCTTCCGAAACGTGTCTTGAAGCGTTGTCAAGGAGTTTTGCAGAGGTACTTTTCTTATCTTGGACAGGTTCTTGAACAAGTCCATTAGATGCGTGAAAGCTGATACTCACAAAAGATAGACTATCCGTCAAAGAGTTGACGAACGCTGTTGGTCTCCATCTCTCTACACCAGCGGCAGTATTCTGTTCATCGCGGTGAAGTCGGGGCCGGTGCCTCCTACTGTAGCAGTCGGTCGAAGTCGTACTTTTTTGTTGAGAATAGTGGTAATTCTGCAATGTCTGTATTGACCAGTGTGCCTGGTTTGAATGTATTTTTTAATTTGATTGATGTTTCCTTATCATTCACCCTCTAATCAAGGTTGGGGATAGCTCCAGTGATGCATTCTCTGCTCCAGTGCAGCGTCTTGGATCTACTCACTTTGAACTATTCTTCATTGGCAAGCTACGATAACTTCTTACCTCGACATGGTACTACCGATTGCGAAACCCCGCCCTGAAGGCACTTGCAGGTGCACTACGTGCAGTGGTGAGTTAACTCCATTGCCTCCATTTCAGATGAAGATTAAGGATGCACATTCATAAGATTCAGGAAGAGTTGTGGGGCCAGAATAATCGGCTCTACTGCCTTCTTAAACACTAGTAACTCCTCAACTGGAGCCTGGCTTCAAACCATGGCTAATCTGTATACCACATTCCCCACTCCAGACCAGAGGCTGACCACAGATCAGATATGATTCTCAACAGGCGATGAAGGAACACTCTCTGCGCACAAGCTCAGAAGTATTATCCAAAACCAAATGAAGAAACCTGTAGTAGTACTATTACCATCCCTGACATGTGGGTTTTGTGATTTTGCACTGTGCAATTGGTCGGTGGTGTGAACTGGTCAAGCTTAGACTTGTTAATTAGCAATGTCAGGCCATCTCGCTTATGGTTACGGAGAGTACGATTAGCCTAAATAGACAAGATTAATTGCAGTAATTGAAGTGTCAAAGCTTGGTTGTGTGTTCAACTGAAACAAAGCAGTGTGATCAAACTGGAGGAAGTGGAGCAAGCTGAGCATCTTTGCAAAAGATACACAGTAGCAAATGTGTAGATCGTGTAGAATTAAAGAGTGTCACTTGCAAGCAAAAGTAGTAGTGATCAACTACAAAAACTTTGCATCTAGAATAGCACAAATTGTTTAAAGTGAGTGTAGAAAAGAAATAGTTTTAGGGTGATTGTAAGAAATATTTTTTACATGGATTCATTTTAGTAAGATTTGATTAAGTTGCTTAGGGTGGATAATCCCTTTTATTGCACATTTGAGGTTTAAACAAACAATTACAAACATATGAAAATTTTAAAATAATTTTAGCATTAAAGTGATGATAATTGGCTCTTATATATATATATATAAAGTGTATAATTTTTGTAGCCCTTCTTTAATATGTAGAAGACAAATTGCCACTAAAAAAACTCAAAAATAATTTTTTAATCAATTACAAAATATAAAAAAATATTAGAAAAAATTACATAAAAGAATTCTCATTTTTTCAAAAATATTATCATATATATATGAAAAATATTATAGTTGGGTATCCAAAATAAATTCCTAACTTTGATGTGAGTACAATCTTAAATCTTAAATTTAAAAATAACTAAATTACTTCTATTAAGATTTCTATAAAATTAACCATCTATAAAGTATTAGAGAGATTTTTCATGACAGAAAATCTAATTTTAAAATTAAAAAAAAATTAAAGAAGTAACATGAGTTTATTTCAATAATAAAAAAATTTAAATTTTCATATCAAAATAAAAATAAAAAGATAGAAATTGAAAATGTTAGGATTTTTTTCTCCCTCTTATATATATACAAATATATATATATATATATATATATATATATACATAAGTGTATGTATATATATCAAAAATCTTCTAATTAAATATATAGAAATCATTGGCAATAGCACTTAGCTAATAGATCATCAGATTAATGTCATGACTGCAGCAAATCTACCATCAACACAAGTAAAAAAGAAATTGTAGTATTTATTGCTTCTTGGAAGCAATAAAATAACTAAGATAATAATATTACATATAATATAGCCAAAATTATAATAAAAGAAAGAAATAAAAACAAGTGTATAGTTGAAGGAATTGAAAAACAACACTTAGATAGAAAATGCTTGCTTTGCTAATTTGAAAGAAAATTTAAATCACTTATAGGTGAAATTTTTGTTTCTATATTTTTATGAAATTTAAAATTTAAAATTTAAAATTTCAATAATTTTCATATAATATAGAAATAATTCAGTAGATATTTTTTATCAACTAATTGGCCAAAATTTTAAAAGTATCATAAAACCAGTTATTGTAGTAACAAAAGATTGAGAATTTTTTCTATTAAATTTTAACAACATATGTAACACTATATAACAAAATAATAAAAAAAAGAAGTAATAGTCCTTTACTATTGCTCCACAAAACATATATAAGTTGGTAGAAAAAATTGAGTAATTAGAAAGCTAAAATTGCAGCTCTAGGATAAAATAACTTACAATAGCAAAATAATGCAAAGTGTAATGGCCATCTTCTCCAATTACACAAATCGGTACAAGTATCATATGATTAGTACTATCTATATTTTGAAGCTTAAAATAATTTTTTTAAAATTAAATTATAAATTTAGTAATTTTAGTAATTTTTAGAAATTATTTATTTAAATTATATTTTTGATCTTCAAAGATGTGATGTATTATTACATAAATTATGTAGAACAAAGGAAAAAGAATTGGAACAAGTATTATGATCAAACATCAATTTAATATTTATTTTTTAGAATTTATATTATATAAATATTCAAATAAAGCTAAGACTTGTAGTTTACATATTTTATTTATTTTTTTGTATTAAATATCCTTTTTTTAATTTTAATTCTTTTTATAATAAAGATCTATTATAGATTATTTTACAATATTTTTTAGAAGAGAAATTAGGTACAGCTATGATATAAGTTACTATGTAATTACTAATATAATAATATTTATGAATACAATTGACCAATTATTTATTTAAAGACTTTAATTAGATCATAAAAGTAGACTAAAATATCAAAAAATAAATATAGATTTAAAATTATATAATAGAAATAATTAAATAAAAAAAGATAATTTATGGAGCATAATTAAGAACTAATATATATATTGGGCTATTTATTTTATAGGCATATACTTTTTTCCTTGTAGGAAATAATGAGAGAAGATATAAAAAACTTACTAAATTGAATTAGTTCTACACATGTAAAAAAGTCCTAGTAAAAAATAATATAATATAATATAATATAAAATAAGATAAAAAAATGATATAACATATCTAGCCATTTATTTGGATAATTATGTTATTTGGATAATTAGATTATGTCTCTACATTAAAATTTAAGAAATATGTAAAATATGTAAAAATATGTAAAAGTATGAAATAAAAAATATATATATATATATATAGAGAGAGAGAGAGAGAGAGAGAGAGAGAGAGAGAGAGAGAGAGAGAGAGCATTTTAAAACTAAGCTACAATTATATTTTATGTTACATAAGAATTTTTGAAAAAATATAGCATTAAAAAAAACAAAAGGATTTGAATGTATAGCAAAATTATCAAAGACTCAAGTCTAACCAGAAAATTTATTGGTATAAAACCTATTAAAATAAGCTTATAGAACTTAAATTTCAATTCTTCCAACTAATAAATTAGAGATTGAAAGCTTTTAAATTTTAAAAGAGAATGCAGCAACAAAATGTTTGTAAAAAATACATAAAAATTTGTTTAATGCATTAAAAAAAAAATAACAATCCAAACAAAAATAATCAAATTGAAAACAATTAAGGATAAGTATACTACAAGCATTAAAACATTAAACATGTCTGTTTTGATTTTTATTTCAAATTTTATAAAAGTATACCATATAAAAATAATATAAAAAATATTCTATTCTAAATTATATTTATTGAAACAATCAAATAAGGAATAAATAGGTTTCTAATTACTCCATTGGTTTTTCTTTTTTAATTAGAAGATATTCTTTCAAAAATAATCCAAGAAATAATATCAAAGCTAAAGAATATTCTTAGAAAAGACCAATTTATTATAATTAAACATGATATTGAATATAATTTTTTTTGTAACATATCAATTATAGTAACATTATTTTATTGTATGAAAAAAATAAAAATAAAAACTTTACATGGAAAATTTTGAGGCCTATTGTTGTACTAATTTTTTTAATAAAATGTATGATAAAATTCTATAATTATGTCTTTAATTGGATCTTATAGAAAACAATTATTTAAATCAATAAATTTTAAAATTTTAAAATTTACTATGGATTACATATTGGCCTTTGAGGAAAAAATTTACTAAAAAACATTCAAAGAAATCCCTATTTCAATTAAAATTCATCATAAAAACATACAATAAAGTCTTATCAGTCTTTTATTTTTTATAATATAAAAAGTTATACTTCTATTCTAATTTTATCTTTACAACAAAATAATTTGTAGAAGAGTTAAAGAAAATATTTCTATTAACAATAACTAATCTATTCGTTTTTTTAAAAAAAAGAGCAAGCTAAGGATGCTTAAACTAAGATTTAAATAAGAGCTTTTGATACATAAAATATTTAATGACTATCAAAATAATAGAACCATCAAGCAATATAAAATTATCTTATGTACAAATTATAAATACTTCTATATTCTTGACATATCCACTACAACTTACATCACTTACCACACCAGTTGCAATTTCACTACTACATCTATTACACTTCTAGCAAATCTTGAAGCTTCCAAATTTATATTTCTTAATTTCATGTTTAGTAGACCTAAGACACCAAATAGCTCATGACAAGTTCATGAAGCTGTACACCCATGTCTTTGTACACACATATTAATCACCTTTACTTCTAGCCGTATAAAATCTAATTGGTCAAAAATAGAATACTGATTGGAAAAACTTGCACATCTTACAAATTTCTAGGATACAAACATACGAACTTTGCTGTTAGGGGATAATACATGATCCCCCAACTTTCAACTAAATAGCTCAAATATCTAGAAAAATAGTAGGGTGTTAAAAGCCAGTGGCAACCCATGTTCCATTTTATTAATCTACAAGCAGTAGACCTCATTCATTCATTCGTTCATATATATATATATATATATATATATATATTGTAATTAAATAAAATCCAACTTGTAAGCTGAATTTCCTATCATGTTTATCACGTTGCTGATGCAATAAATGTTTTTAGATGTTGAATACACTCAATTAAAAAAACTTAGCATAAGTTTTCCAGATGTTGAATACACTCAATTAGTCACAACAGTCTCAAGACTGTAGCAGCATTTCAGAGGATAGCAAATAGTGGAGAAAAGAAAATAGTGGTAATAGGAGTGATAGTAATAATAATAGTAATAATAATGAGCTAAAAAGTTTATCTGGTCAGGTCACTCACATCTTCTGCTCGATTTGCAGCAAGAATATCTTCTACGGTATTTACTGAGAAGCTTTTCGCAGAGCAAGCACAGGGTTGTACTTTAGACAAAGTTGGATACTCCTCCGGTCAGAATCAGCCCATGACATGGGAGTCAGAGCCATTAATGGAATCATCCCTGCTATGACAGACTCCTCGTGCCTGGCACATGCCACTGTCAATGAAGATGATTAACATGCCAAGATTTCAAGAGGGCTACAGACGATACAAAGCATGATTCCTTTCTGTAATATTCATGACAATTCCAACATTGGTAGTGATCGTATATCATGGAACTTACAAACCAGGAAAAATACTTCTGCACGATGTTTACAGAAACGAAGCTCACTCCCCCAAAAACAACATTGCATTAGACATTTCACATAGATAACAGATAACTGGGTGTGACCGCATGTTTACTACAAACGCCACACAGGTATTATGGATGTTGCGAATACAAGCAAACTGACAAGAAATTGAAACCACCGCAAGCATGTTAGATCCCACAGTGAAAACACTAAGTATTAACAAAGTGAATAATAGAAATGCATGGCAGTCTCCAAATTACATTCTCATTCATGACAGACTGAAGTCTGTCAACACATGCTCAAAGCGTATCGCTTCATTAAGCATATTCATCATGCACCTCTAAAAATTGTAACTTCTACTAATGTACAGGCTTTCCTCTGCACAGATAGGACTAGATCCTCATTGCACCTATACATATGTTCGTCATTATCCCTACACGATTTTCTCTCAATATGATGAAGCAGAATTATAAACCCGCCATGTCCACCACATTTTTAACACTCTTATAACTAGTACTACATGGAGTTAAACCACTATGCGGTCACGACTTTTCAGAAAAAAAGTATTCTAAGAAATAAAGAAAGTAAAAAAAGAAGAAAAAGATAAAAAAGAGGAAGACTCCTTCCAGTATAACCGCGCAGTGAAGAAGCCCATTAGTGTCAATAACCCGTGTTCAGAAACCAAAATTGTGTTGAAACTGGAATCAACCTGCCGGTTAGCTGACCCCTCGTCGTGGAACACGCTCAGAAACAAAATTTATGAACTCATCTGAATGATTAAGCACGTGCAGCCAGGTGCCACGATCAAAGAGCGCACTTAAAATATCTTTCAGATGCCAAGCGCTGCATTGTCGATAACTGCAGTTTCCAACGCATTGCGACAGCATCGTTTGCTGCTCGATCAGCGCATCCCGTAACCGATATAAGCCTTTACAATTTTCGTGACACAAATCCTGAATTCCTACTGTGTCTGATGTCGGCTCATCCAAGCGCCATGAGAGAGCTTCCTTCCATTTACCAGATCGAGTCTCTGAGAGCAAACATCCTTGAGACCCCATGACATGCAAAGGGGTCAAAGATGCTTCGTCTACTCAAAAGACGCAAACCAGCGCGCAATGCGTCGTAGCATGCTGCAAGTGAAAAGCTTCCGAACCAAATCTACTGGGATCAAACTACATCTATCTGGAGCGATCCTGTCCCGGGATCTCGGCTTCTTCCACAAATTCGTGGGTAACACCTTCCAACCACCAAAGCAAATGCTCAAAGACATCAGGAGTACAAGCTATACGCAAACCTCCATCGCAACAGAATCCAAATTCCTCTTCAGACTTCGCTAGCAGTGCCCGAAAGGCGTTGTTCGAGAGACATGAAGTGGGGATGACAAACCTCCTCCGCTCCTTCCCAACGTAGACCGCCAGGCAACCAACCGGAACATCAGCTGGAGGACTGGAGTGTTCTTCGTCACTATCGTAACAGTGTGCATCAGACACGCTTCCCCATGAGCGCCCCGAGTTGATATTGAGTGAAGAAGACTCGAAAGAGTTTGAGGCTGCGCTTAAGTGTCGGGAGAGAGGCGGTTTGTAGCTCTGAGGCGAGATGTGGAGGACCCTGTGAAAGAACTTGATGAGCTTCTTCGATGCAGCCATGATTAAAAAAGGAGATACCTTACTGAACGAAATTATTTCTCACAGTGCTGTATCCCGGAGTCGATTGTGAAACAGTTACTGGGATGTGCTCTTCACTGCAGTCGCCAATCGAAAATTTGAGATCATCATAATTGTTGGTGAAGGCGCATCGCAGCATAAAGAACTATAAGAGAACATCGGCAAGCCTGTCCAGTTTCTCGCGCAGCAATGCACCTCTGGCATCAACTCAGACTAGGTGACAACAATACCCAATGGAAAACCTTACAAAGCTAGATAGCGCTCTAGTAGAGAACAGAGACAAGGAGGTCAAATGATCATTCCGATCAGTTGTAGGCGATTGGATGCACATAAGCACAGGCTGCGGCCAATAATGCATCAATTCTTTTCGCAGGCATGCACAACGAGTTGCAGTCAAGAAGTCGGCATCACAGGGAACGAAGAGGCAAAACGTAATGAAAATACTTTCTAATACTTCTCGACACGTAAGGGAATTGGAAAGCTACAATCAAGCTTGACCAAGACTAAGCAAGCAAGAACTAATGGCATATGCCAAAGTCGCCTCGAGGTAATGTAAGCATCCTCCCAAGAAACAGTTTGCCAGGCCACCTGAGGAAGAGGGGGCCACGACGGAAACAACCTCGAGCACCTTAAACCCTTCCTCTCCGCAAGTGCCACCACGAACTTACACGCCTCCTCACAACTTGAAAGTTCAAGAAATTAACGAAAGCTTCACACAAGTCACACGACCATTATACTGTGATCGCGCAATCACAAGCCCTTGTGCTATAGAATCTAGGCGACTCTTCAACCTGAAGATTTTCCAGCTATCCACCCTACCAGCACACGACTCCTGGAAGCAAGGAGCGCGTACTACGGTAAGGGGCGTAAGGGGTTCTACAAACTTAACTCCACACTAAATCTTTCTCCCTCTTTGCAGCGTCTGCAAATAGCTACAGATAATAACAAATTCACGCCTCTCCTCACATTTAACCTTCGCTGTCAGGGCGAGTTCCTGCCAACAATCAATGCTGCAGGGAAACGCAACACATGAACTGAGAGCGAGTCAGCCGAGAACCCTTAGACAATCTGACCGATCCCTTTTCCAATGGCCCTGTTGGAGAAACAAATTAAAGCACTCTGTTCTTGGGGCTAACGAAGACGCAATCCAGCGCGATAGTTGACCGATTTTAGAAGCACTATTGTGCAGTCTGTCGGCCGCGAATGCAGGAGCACGGCGCTGGCAACAATGGCGACAACACCGAGCACCACGGAAGTAAGTATGCGTGCGTCGTCTGTGTTCATCCAAAGTCTACCGTCGCGATTCTCGTTCGTATCTGGCCAAGGAATCCAACACCATGGAAAGGGAGATTCTGCATGAGAGCACACCACTCACTGCAAGACAAAACAATAATCGAGGATTTAAAACCACAACAACAACAAAAAATAGCTCTCGAGGAAATTCGATCAAGCTCGGGACCGCATTCTGGTCGGAGATGAAGGCGGGCGGGGATAAATAAATACAGCCCGTTTCACTCGCATTCTCCCGTCTGGTAGATTCCACAATTTTTAGTGAAATCTGAAGATTCCTGGCCTCGTTAGATCTGTGTCGTATTATTTATTTATTTTCCTTTTGACTGTTGTTGTTGAGTAGTCGTGTTCTTATGCACATAAATAGAATGGCCCTACGAAGTTGGCTATTACTACTTTACAATGGCATAAAGTTAGGGTTTTTGAAAAAGTTAGCAGTGTGAAAAATGACATAAAGATAGAAAAAAATTAATATCTATAAATTCTTGATAATAGCAAATATATCCTTCAAATTTGTGATAATAGCAAATATATCCTTCAAATTTGTGATAATAGCAAATGTATCCCTTGTTGGTGATAAGATATCACCAATATTCCTTGTTCAATCGTCATATGGAACCCACATAGTAGGTTGCACAGATTTTGCCCTTGCCACTTTTTGGCTTTTCAAGAATTGGAAAAATCTGGCCTCTTTTTCTTTTATCAATTTGCAAACCATGCCTCACATAGCAGATTCTTGACAGTGCTTAGTTGCAGCAACACTTTTCCTATTGTTGTGCTCACATCCTTTGAATTACATGCCTCATCTAACATTTACTTATATGCAAGCCTTTGCACTTTAGGGTATAAATATGGCTTGTGAGGCAATAAAAAACCAAGAGTGTGACTTTACACAAAGATGATGAATTGCCCAAATTAGGTTTTCACTATGGCAAAAAAGTGTCGTTGCAACCAAGTGCCATTGAGAATCTACAATGTGAGGCATGATTTGCAAATTGATAGAAGTAAAAGAGGCAACATTCTTCCAATTCTCAAAAAGCCAAAAGGGAGTGTGGCAAAATTTGCACGACGTGCAGTCTAGGCCTCAAATGACAACTAAACAAGGAGTGTTAGTGATACCTTATCACCAATAAGAGTGCATTTGCTATTATCACAAATTTGAAGGATATATTTGCTATTATCAAGAATACAAGGGTATTCTTGATATTTTAGCATATTTGAGGGATATACATGATATTTTCTCTCATCTTTTTAACTTTTCATATCTTTTCAATGTAGACACAACTCAAAGACATGTCATGTGGTTGTCATAGCTAATTGTGACAAGTCATGTGAACAATACATGAAATATTTCTTCATGTAAAGATCTAAAATATTTATACTTTACATAGAACCGTTTGTTGAATTTGCCATTTGATGCAGTGAAACTCAATTGGTTAGTAAATTATCAGATTTTCATTCATAGATTGTTGATTAGGAGAATTAAACATGTTAAAAAAAAACAATTTCCTCGCTATGCTAGCAAAAATAGTAGAAAACTTCAATCTATTTGCAAAGGAACCCCTGATTTGATTGCAACCTACCTCAGCTCAACTGGATACCTGACCCTACCTGGTCACACTATATATGCATGTATATATAAACCACAAGACCAGTTTTATACACTCTTTCCAGTAGCCCAGTTTTTTATTTGGCTTCTATAAAAATTTGAATGGATAAATAAACGACGATCATTGTTATTTTGGTTGGTATTTATGTTTAGAATGCATGAAATTAGAAAATACTTGTTGAAGCGTATGGAAGGCTCCACTCTTTGGTTGGTTGGTTGATATATGTTTATAAATATATATATATATATATATATACATGAACAGTAGAGGTCATCATATATTGATTCTACTTTTCTGACTATTACCAATCTTGTGAAAGTTGATGTTTAAATAAAAGTGACATTTAGGGATTTTAATAGACTGATATATATGCATTTAAATCTAAATTTGCAAAGATACACAATTGCGTTAGAATATGTTTTTGACTCGATATGTGGTGTATTCTGTCTCAGAAGTCCTAATTTTAAATAGTTCCAAATGTTTGGTGGTACCAAAGACAAAGGGATGTGTTCTAATGAATATTTCAATTTTAGTTACTAAGTGTTTTGTGGATATATATATATATATATATATATATATATATATATTTCTGAAACTACACAAATTCCACAATAAAGTGAAGTCTTTCTTAAATGACTTTGTAAGATGTAAATTATTTGGTTTAATTACTCACTATGTGATTTTCTTCTTGAATTATATTTCTTCCTTAACATCATCCTTTCAATGGACATTATTCTCTTAGCTGTAAAGTAACTTTCTTTCAACCAATTGTAAAATTATGAAAGTCTCATTTTTCATGCTCTTGTGACATTGGTACCACTATTCCTGGAATATTTACATACAGGAATTATTTCATTTTTTTGTATCTTTTTTTAAACATCAGTTCTAAGGTAGTAAATATGGATATTTCAAATTAATTTGATGTCTCCATTTATAAAAAAATATACCAAAGGATTCCTTTTTTACTTAGTAATTATGGGATTTTAAAATTATATAATATATTGAAAATAGTAAAAAGGATAATGTAGATTTAGACCTAGTTCCTTAGTTTCAAAATACAAACATTTGAAGTTTTTCCCAATGAAATGTCTCGAAAAGCTATTTATTTCGTATCTCTACACTTGATCTATTGCTACGTAGAATAATTTGACACGAGTTTAGAAGGAACGTTCTTTCATTCATCCAAAAAAACACATCCATCCATCCATCCATCCATCCATCCGATGTTCGATACTTCCAGCTGAAGCAAACTCAAGTCAGTGTGGGTCACAAATCAGGGGATCGCGTACCCGAGTTGGGTACGACCGTACCCGGTGGAGGGTACGCAGCCAAGTCGGCAGAGGCATGGGCATGGAGAGGGGGTGGAGACCCATAGCCGTGCCAACCCGTCAGAACTGTCGTCCTTGCCCGTCCCATTCCCGGTGTCCTTTTCAGGTACGGCTTTCACGGCCACGTGCCGCGATATGAGTGGGTCAGCACTTTAATCCACTGCCCTTTGCTACGTGTCATATCTCCATCCACGTCAGCTTCCCTTCTTAAACAAAATAAAGTTTTAAAAAGTTAAGACAAAGTTTAGAAACAATGAAGGATTCTATTGTTGTGGGTGCTTTTTGATCCTCCACTCATAATTTTCATATAGAGATGATATTTGTGTTTGCATGGTATTATAGCTTGTTTGGTGAGCATGTAATGGATTTCTAATTTACATGCAAAAAAAAATTTGTTTACCATTGATGCAACAAAGATCACTTTAATTTATATTTATTTATAGTTTGTATTGTGGTACTTGCAAAAGAAAAAGGTGAAAAGATTGAGATTTGTGTATCAAATTATACTATGAAAATGATTTTTAAAACTTCATTTTGAATGTATTTGTCTTTATTGTCTTATAAATATATAAACTACTAACCATAATGATAATAAACATAATAATAGATTTTTTTTTATCACTTATATCTATTGAATTATTAATAACTATTACAATTGTTATTAACATTATATAATAAGATAGAAAAGACTATAGCAAATTCATTTAAAATCAAATAAAAAAATTATTATATTAGAATAGGAAATTTGAAGAAGCACAAAGAAGAAGAAAATATTGTCATTAGACTTAGAATTGGCATTAAAAAGAATTAAAAAGAATGCAAAACTTTTTTTTTATTGTGATAAGTTTACAAAACTTTAAAAATTACTCTAAATCCTAAATTTTATTGTTCAATAAAATATAGCCTTTTAATTTTTAATTTTCCAAATCTACTACTTTTCTAGCCTATCATACTTCAAAGAATTATATATCACAAACTAGATAATTTAGAAACTTAAAAAAAAATTAAAAATTAAGAAAAAAAAAAAAACTAAAAAAACTAAAAAAATCCTCCTTCATAAGTTTTAGTTCAAATTTTATATTCATTAGAATTTTATACCACTTAAAGAAAATTGGTTCTTATACACATATACATACATATAGTATCAAGAACATGAACTAAAAGAAGATGTATAAACTTGAAAAATCTATGTGAAAAGAAAAGTGGTAAAATAGAAATAAAGTAGTATCTATATTAAAAGGAAACTAGAATAGTTATTGCCAAATGACAATGAAACTAGAGACTCTTAAATCTAAACTAAAAGCAAGAAAAGAATTGACAAGAATGAAGAGGGCTTCACTCTTATCTCTATATATTATCTAAGTAAGAGCTACGTGGCAATGTTCTATAGGACTTTTAATATGTGTTGATTTTGCAAAACACATGCTTTAACTTACAAGGCAAGTTTTCTATGTGTAGGCCACATAGTTTACTTGTTTGTCAAGCTATCAACATGTGTGGCACATGGCCAACTTGTTGACCACGTTTCTAATCTAAAAAGTCAATTAAAGACACTTATATAGTCAAGGCAACATCTATGAAACTTCTATAGAAGATATTATGGAATTGACCTACTTTTACCTAATATTATCTAAATCATAAAAATAATTATTGGTTTACATGTGTATGTCTATGACAAATAGCTCACAACTTTAAAATAACATTAATTTCAAAAATTTGTTTTAAGAAAATAAATACTTGTATAATACATCCAAAAAAAAAAATTTAAGAAAATAAATACTTGTATAATATATCCACAAAATTTGTTTTAAGAAAATAAATACTTGTATAATATATCCACAAAATTAGACAATCTTAATCTTTATTTTTCAAAGATATTTCATCTAAAGATTGAATTTTCATGATAAATTTTATTTTACTTTAAAGCCTCATGACTCTTCTTACACTTAACATTTGTTTAACTACTTTGTATAATAGAAGTAAATTATTTTTGATGATTTACTTCAGAATTTTACTTTAAAAAATCACTCAATTAAACAAAGAAATTCCTTCAAAATATTGCTAACTATACACTCAATTTACTCCTAAAACAATCACTAGTTTCATTTTTCATTTTTCTTTTTGAAAAAGCTTCAATGAAATTTACAACTGACCTCTCATAACTCACCAAAGAAACTTTCTTCTATTTCAACTCTTAAAATTCCGTTCATCTTCTTTCACATACTAGTCAAATACTATTTGTTGTCTATTTGGATCCTTGACAAGTAACCACTTTATGATAATAAAAAAACAAAAAGTGTATGTGTGTGTGTATATATATATATATATATATATATATATATATAAATTAACACAAAATTTGTGTGATTAATACATATAAATTAAAATTATATTATCATAATTTTTTATTTATAACAATAATAAATTTAAAATAATATTATTTATAAACTGATCACATTACTGATACAATTTTGTGAAAATAGAAAAAGACAAAATTGTGTCAAAATTACAATTATTAAGACCTTGCAATAGGCTAAAATTTTAATAAAAATAAAATTGATGTTTTAATTGTAATTAACTAATATATTACATTTTAAAATAAAAACTATTTTATTTATAAATTATAGTTTTCTTTTATCAAGAACGTTTGAAAAATAATGTCAAAAAAGTTAAAATATGATTATATATTATATTTGATTTTGATTTTTTATTATCAATTTAAATTATCATAAAATATTTTAAGTATAAATATTTAATTAAATAAGATAATATTATTTATCAAATAAACATAAAAAACTAAATAAAAAATATTTATATTAAGATTAAAATTAGAAAGAAGGTCATAATATAATTTTTTTTTTAAAACGAATTTGTAAAAATGTAGACAAAAATTGATATAGATATAATAAAAAGTATATCTTAAATAAAAATATTAATTGAAGTACTGGTGAAAAATTCATTAGCAAGTAAAGAAACTATCAAAATATGATTCTTTGTATATTTATATAACTTATAAATGTACTATGCAAATCATGTCTTAAATAAAACAATGCAACATTAATAAGTATTAATTGCTTTAAAATTGATGTATTGGCTTTTAAAGTATTTAATGATAATATCTAATTTAAGGAGTAAAAGCCATTCTTATCATTTTTCTTCAAAAAAATAAAATTATTAATATTTAAAAATATATATATTAAAAAAATTCATTAGACAAGATAATTTAATGTGTTGGTTCTAATCAATAAGTTTTAAAAATTAACTTAAGAAATTTTAAGAAGTAAATTTATAAAAGAGAGTTTGAAATTATTTAGTAAAATTTTAAATTATAAAACAACATGGATATAAGAAAAAGTAATATTTAAATATCAAATTTTAAAAGATTTCTAAAATACTAAAAATGAGGAATTTGAATTCATTAGACATGACTTTGAATATATAAAACATTCGAACAAAGAATCTACACTTTCAAAACCTTTCTCACTAGTAAATATTGAATTCATAAAAGGTTTGAGCTTTCCCAAGGCTTCTAGTGCAATGCAATGTATTCTAAAACAATTTTGAACCCTTGATTTTTCTCTACTAGCTACACTTTAGGATATCATAACCTATTCTAGATTAACATACATAGTTTCTTAATATATATTAGTCATGTGGTCCTTTTAAGATTAAAATTAAAAATTTTGAATTAAAAGACTTATGAAATATAACTATTATCTTTTTTTAAGGTCCATATTTCTCCATCCTTCAAACATATCAAAAACCCTCTATAAAACAAATCATTTGTTTATAAAATTTAATACAAAAAGTGTACATCTCTTTATGTTCCAAAAATGTAGGTATGTGTTAATATATAAATCAATAAATAAAGGCAACTTTACACTTGTAATCAACATCAAAGCAACTTTTGGGGCACATAACAAAGGACCAAACCTAATTGAAGTTCTCAAGGAGCATATCCAAAGGGGTCAAAGGAGATCTTAGAGTCATCTATTCCATAGCTCAACAAAGTTTTTCATACCAGAAAAAAACAAACACACGAAATCAAGGCAGGCAAGGGAATGTATTGCAATACATGTGGCAATGAAAGACAATTAGCCTAAGAAAGAGAGCCTAAACCCCTTTACTCTACCATTTCTCAATACATTTTTCTACATTAATGCCAATTGTAAAGAGTGCAAAAAAGCAGGATTAGTGTATAAGCATACGACTCAGGTGACTTCGAGCCACAAGTTTTGTTGTTCTAATTTTTTTGTGGGGTAGAATGCAAAGGCCAAAGAGGTTTCGCTGCAAATTATCGGCTTCACAAGGATATGAAAAAAATGGATTTTGAAGCTAAATTAGTGAGCAGTAGTGAAAACTCTTGCTCTCTCACAGCATCCACAAATCCAACACAATTCAGTGAAAAATTGATATTTGCCAAAGCAACGCTCACCAGACTATGTCCTACATGGAAGAGCTGGGAAAGGGTTTGGTGAGAAGCACTGAATGGCATGGAAATCACGTACATGTTGTGGGATCCGGAGCGCAACAATCACAAGGAGGATGAGCTTTGTTTAGGGATTTGTTGCCATTTTTCACCAGTCGTTGCTCTCCCATTTTAAGACAGCGGAGTTGATGTCCGTTTCTCGCTTGATTTTGTCTTTCTGGAACCAATCGCATATCGAGCCAGCGTTCAGCTCTTCAATGGTCACACCTTCTTGCTCCGCTATAACCCTGAGCAAATTCAAAGATGATATCTGCAACGGGGTGAAACGACACAAGCGGAATTAGCTTCCGAAACCCTATTAATTCTAGGCAAAGGGATTCAGCCACAACTATGACAACAGATTATCCCTTCACCTTAGTCATATAACAATTGTGGTCCTAGTCGCAAGTGTTGAAATCAGTGCAGACCGATACCGACTCTCTTTCTTTTTTTTCTCTTTTTAAAATTAAATTAAATTAAATTAAATCAAACCTACCCTAATTAATAAGCTGTGGTTTGCTGAAATTTGTACAAGTTCTAACTGAACAACGCCAACCGCCACTAAAGCCTACATGCTGGTTACTGAATAAATGTGCTGTGACAAGATTGGACGCGGAGAGTGAATATTAACTGTGAGACGACACAAGAATTTCTCGTGCATGTCGATGTTTGCCATTTCGACGAGCCCAGCTTCTTCCATGGTGAGGAACGATCCAGGTCCACCGCCTCCACCTTGAACTCCCACACGTACCGACATTCTCCCCCTCCCATTATCGGCTGCAGATAATTATTAACCCCTCTGTCAACATACCATTGCCTTACGCAACCAATCGTAAAAAACAAATGAACAAAGCTCCCTGCCTCTCGTCCACAGAGCTCCACTAACCTCGTAACAACTTTTGGCTATGACTTGAACTAAATTCACACCAACCCAGTAAACCCATCAAAATTTCCAACCAACGTAGAAGAGTATGCAATTCCAAAAAAACCTGAGGAGCTTGAGCGAGGTAATGAGATTCGTGAGCAAAGAGCCGGAGCCGTCATGCCATTGAAGCTGCCGTGATGCACTGAGCTTGCTACAGACGCCGCAGGTGAGCTCCATAGCTGGCTCATTACCTGCAGAGCTGCAAATGACACGGCCATGAGGCTCCAATTCGCTCGAGTCGACGACTCACAAACGGAAGAGAAGGCAGAGAATTCGACCACGATAAGCTCGGATTCGGCCGCGATTGAGCTCGGCCAGCTGATGAATTGCTCGACGAGGACGAGCGTCGAGAGTGGTATGAGAAGATGAGGCCAGTGAGTGAGCTTCACTCCGGTGGCTTAGCCTTCGCCTTTTTACTTTTTGCGGTACTTTTCCACCCTCAACCTTTTCCCCTCCTTTATTCTTTATTTTTTTTACCTTTTTACCATATATATATATATAATTCGGATTTTTTTTGAAATGGTGTACATTTGTTTGCTCAATTGTTTTTTTTTTATTATTATTTATGACATGTGCTTTTGTCGAAGTGCATTTGTTAAGTAATTCTAAAGTTTTATTTTATTGTTTTTTTATAATATAACATCGTTTTTTGTAATAAAAAGGACCATTCAGAAAGAGTGCGATTGAACTTATTTTCTTCGAAGCATGATATTCCGAGTTTTTTTACTTGAAGAAGTGGAGACTTTCGGTGACGAATCGGTTCGAGCTTCAGTCTCTACCGAATTGATTTGCTTCGCAGGCTTCGTCGCATCGGCGAGCTATGGTGGAGTCGACCGACAACGTGTTGCGCTAAGTTGTTGTTAAGCGGCGGGAACGACGACATCGCCGGGCTTCGCACCTTGCCCGAGCATGAGCTGCGACAATCGTCGCATGGTGAGCTCGTCCGGAACCTCGGTCAGTCCAAGGGAAGGTCGGAGGGGCTTGTCGCGGTCGTTTTGTGCGAACGGCGAGATTTTCCACCGGAAAGACAAGTTCCGCTCCATGGAAAATGGATTGATGATGCAGTGTCTCTTGGTTCCGATCGCGTTCAGCGGACGCCGCTTCCCGTCGATGTGCATGATGCGCTTGTGAGGGAACAACTGGAGGCGCAAGTCCTGTTGCTTGTCGAGGCAAACTTGCATGTCTTTCATTCGGCGACGCATGTCAGGGGTGACGGAGTTGTTCTTCCTTCGCCAGATGGAAGGTAAGTAGCGGTCTGGCCGCGGAAGGTTCAGCAGCCTCGCAAACTGAGGGCCTTCTGGTAGGATGCGGCCCGTTAGCCAATTCGGCCGCGTCGGATTGTTCTCAGTGTTGAGCGGCATTTGTCCGCAGTCCTTAATCTTTACAGGATACCTTTTTTGAGTGCCTCGTCGGGTGCCGTTGGCTTCGATCTTTCGAACCACATCTTCGCCCTTGATGACCTACGTCACGGCAATGGTATACTATATCGATCGATTAGTCGGATGGATCTCGACTAAACCGCTGTATTCAAACACTTCAATTCAAGAATTGATATGACGATTAATTGTTCACCTTGCCGAATACAACATGCCTGCCATCAAGCCACGGGCACTCTTTGAGCGTGATGAAATACTGAGAACCGTTTGAATTTGGCCCTGAGTTTGCCATGGACAGCACCAGCGCTTCATGCTTCAGCTCGAAATTCTCGTCGTCGAAAAGCTCTCCATAAATCGATTCACCTCCGGTACCGTTATTGTTCATGAAGTCCCCTCCCTACTCCAAAAAGAATAGTGAAATATCGTCCACTACTATGGGCGACGAAGCATCAATATTTCGATTGTTTTTATTTGGGAACAAAGTGCATGTGGCGGATGTTGTCTGACCTGAAGACAAAAACCAGGAATGGTTCGAAACAATTGGCTGTTTCTGTACCACCTGCAAGCTCCGGAGGTGCCAACTCCATACTCTCCCGTGCACAGTCCTCGAAAATTTTCAACTGTCTTCGGCACAACGCGCTTGAAAAGCTCAAACCATATGCGACCAATTAGTTCGTGCTCCATTTGGACATCAAAATACACAAGCGGATTGGGATCGGGATCGGGATCAGGATCTCGTTCTGGCTCAGGCTCCGGCCGGCTCTTGATCGCAAGATAGAGATTATTGTTTTGTCAGAAACGCGTCTGCCGTGAACATAATTGAAGGCAAAAGCACAACCATTGCAATCTGGTGAATTAAAACTTGATGCGCAAAAAGATAACAATGGAGTTCAAATGAGATCTACGTCGGCAGAAACCCACGCTTACATCTGCTCTGGCAGAGCCTCGCCTTCTACGCCTTTCGGTGGAGGTGAATCAGTATCAACAGGCGGAGCCACGACCACCTTTGAGCCTTTCTTCATCGTCGACTTCGCCATGGCCACGTCTCCCTGAAGCCACAAACAAGAGCACAAGAGCACACCTCAGAAGACACTCACGAGACAAAATCCAAACGTAGTTCAAAATCAAGTCAGACTCCTAAACTCTCTCGTAGATCGTGCAACATTTTCAATCGACTTGCACACTCCATGGACACAAGAAAAATGCAGGCTACATTCTATTCCTTCATTAGAGCTACAGATACATGTTTTTTTGACAAATATAAATGTAAACAAACAGTAGTCACCGTGTGCACAAACAAGCACTGTTCGATGAATCTCAATCCTCAAAAGCTTCAACGGCAAATTAAAATCTGCAGCCAACCGATCCACAGCATCACCAATCTCAAATCGTAACTGTAATAGGCGAAGTCATGGCCATCGCTACAGTTGAGGAAGCTTCAATTAGGGCTAGGGTTTCAATTCTTTTGAGCATTCATGAAGATGTGGAGACAATTCTTAAGAATCATGGTCTAAACGCAAGGTTGTCTCAATGGTAGATACTATTTTATAATATACTAGTATGAATGACATAAATAGAAGGTAAAATCATGAAAGAAGTACTTGTATTCTTTATTGCAACGAGCCTTTGTTAAATTTATTCAGGCAAACAAATCAGTTGACAAATAAATAGAAACTATGCAGATATTGCCGAATATATAAATTTGAATATAACATTATACAATAAAAATTTCTGGCATTTAAAATACAGTAAAATCGTATATATATATATATATATATATATTCATCCATCATAAGTTGTTGTACTTTTTATTTTATGATTCTTAATAATGTTATAAGTCTACTAATAATTATTTTATTAGTTTAAATAAGATTAGCTATAATTTTTTTGTGTAATAAATATTTGTATAAGATAATATTATTTTAATCCTGTTTTATGCCATCTTTAAAATTTTCTTGATAGATGTATTCATCTTATGTGATTTATTTATTTATTTGTTTATTTTTGTTGAGTTTAAAGAACAAATTTTAAAATTTTAAAATGGCTTTTAAATAAAATATAAATAAACCAATATAATTTTAGAAAGTAAATATGTATCCTATCTATATCTATATATATATATATATATATATAAATATTAAAGATAATGATACTTGTCTTTACACATCCAAAAAGCCATATATCTGTTTATGCATCTATTCAATCATCTATGTATTTATTCATTTACTTAAATCAATAACAATTTGGATCATTGTCTTTCAACCATCTATGCATTTATCTAAATGTTTAAATCAACAAGTATTTAAAGTTCTATTATTCAACCATTTTTGTGTTCTGTCAACAACTATTTAAATGTTGATCATTTTAGCACAATATAGAAATACTATCACTCAAGTGAATGAGCATAGCAATTCAAATTTGTTTCTTCAGTTGATTCTAAGGGTAGAATATGAACAAGGCAATGCACTTGATTGATTGCACAAGATTAAAAAGATACTTATGTTGGAAGTTTAAAAAAATTTGTGAATATTATGCAACAAAATAAAAGTGAAAGATTGCTATATATTGAACTTTACACAAAATGGTAGAAATTTGGATCAAATTAAATGCATCTCTTTAAGAACAAAAATGTCAAATGTTATAAGGGTATATTAGTAAGCTTTTAAGCTTAGTATTTGTTATCTTCAGTTCTTGCATCCTTGCAAAATTTTATTATATTACTTCATTAAATGCCTTCTTTTATTTATTCTATTGTAGCATTTCTATAATTTATTTGATAATTTTCATATTGGAATAAAATATGTATGTTATTATTATAAGAGCATATTTTTATTATCAATTTCATGGTTTGTAGCTTGTTGATAGAAAGATTTTTTAGTCCAACATTACTGAATTGATTTCCAAAATTGATTTCCAAAATTTGCAAAATATTATTGTAATGGTTTTAGTGCAGAAGTTATAGTAATCTATAGGAATTTATTTTGATTGGGCTTTTATTCAATATGTCAAATTACTACATCAAGTAAATAATTTAATGAATAAAAGAAATCCTTAAAGCATTTACAAATTCAAATTAATGAAAACCCGTAATTGGATATCAAAATATTTCGCCTTCATTTGTTTAATTCTTTGAATTTTCTTATATATATATATATATTTATTTGAAAGTGATCATAGTTTTTAGTGACACTTGTTTTAGACATATTAGTTTTGTTGAACATATTTCATTAATAGCGACAGCAACACATGACAACAATCCATCTACATTAAACATTGAATCTTCTCATTGTTTACAAACACATATCTATATAACCTTGTGTCATTGTTTCGAAACAAACGAAGAAAAAACAACAGAATAAAATCAAAACAAACAAAATAATTAAAATCGCAGCATGATAACCCCCCAAACCTCTTATTCAACCCCATGAATTCAAAACACAAAAAAACCCACAAACAAATCATCCCTTCAAGAAAAATTGGGTTCTCTCATTAAAAAAATGACGAACAGGATTTACACTAATCATCCCCAAAGGATTCCAGTTGAACAGGCAAACCAGGGGAGTGTGTGTGGAATTTTTTCTTCTACACAGGACTCTAACAAAAGAATAGAAACAATGTGAAATGGAACCAGAAATAAAGAGGAAAAAAGTGATAAAACAGTGTACAAAAACCAGCAAAAAATGAGAAAAGAAAGAGAAAGGAATCAGGTGGAATCCCCATCGTTGAGTAGAGTCTCATACTGAGTTGCTTTCAAGCGAGCCAACACTGCATCCCAGTTCTGAATCTGTTCTCTCAGTGGCCGAGTGTGGATCTTCACCTGCAGGCTTTCCAGTTTGCGAGGCTGCACCCCCAAAAACTCTTGGACCTGCATAAGATGCTGCACAACATTCAGGAAGAGTTTTACAATCCACACACACTATCAGTACACAGTCCATATCTGATACGTTGAATGCACTGCAGGTTCACAGAGATGCAAAAAAACCATGCTAAAATAATAGCAAGTTCGTGAGACAGTTAGGAAGAAAAAGAAAAAACCTTTGGATCCATAACGAGATCTTCGTAGTAAACGACTCGGAGACGAGTGTTGTTGAAGAAGCGTTGAGCGTCGTCAGTGATTTGTTCCACTCTGTGCAAGTTGTCTGTCAAGTGGTTCACGTCGATGACTGGCCTGTATTCTGCCAATTTCATGGCCTGTGATGGTGGTGGACTGATCAATATACTAGACAATGCTTTGTGTGTGTTGCCTTTGAACGGTAAAGAATGGGAGGCGTGATGGTGTAATGAGAAAGAGTGAGGAATGGTGTACCTCTTCGACTGAGTGGACATGCGACTTGTGGATGCCGTTCAGTGGTTTCGCTTTGCGGTCGTATGCGTTTGCCAGGATGGAAATTAGCCGCTTCAACACGTTTCGCCGAAGAAGTAGAATGACAGAGACGCCCATTTTCTCAAAATAGTCGCTCACCTCCCTGCTGTATTCCATCGGTCCCTACAAATGATCAACGTCAGACCGCTGGAACAGAAGATGAATGGAGACGTGGGGCAAATAGTTTTGGCTGGAAATAATTAATCCTCGGTGCCCATTTGGCTCACAACCAGGGCAGACATCATGCAAGTTTACATAATAGCCGCATGAAACATTGAAACTAAGCATCTGAGAACGAAAGACAATGATGCTTTGAAAACTGGTATTAGATTGAGAGGATCCTATGCATCCAAATGGCGTGAATAAAATGGTAAGCATGAGGTGGGGGGATGGTTGTGAAATCTACCTGGTTGAGCATCCACTTGAAACCCACAGCTGCAGTGCATTCGTTCTTAGCAGCACTATTCAGCCAGTCCAGATTGTAGATCTTGTCCATGGTGCGTGCGATGGTGGAAAAATTCGCTCTCCGTGGCTTGACAGAGAAAATCTCACCGTGGGAACTAATGTTTGGGTGGTTGTTGAGAAGCGTCTCGAACCACCCACTGCCTGATCTTTGCATTGATAATATTACAAAAAAGTGTACAGGGGTGCATTGACACTCTTGCCTGCATGCAAGCAAGCAAGCACAATGGAGCAAAGCATGAGAGAGGGAGAGAGGTTTTTCTCATGCAGAACGCATCGAAATGGGTACATTGGCATGATAATAATAATAAAGCAACGAAAGCTTGTGATCTCAACCTTCCATATGAATGCGGAAGAGGGTAGTGCTGGTAATAATCCACGGAAGGGCCCCGTGGAGCACAGGATTCATCCTCTCGTCTCCAGTCTTTGACGACTGCCCCTTCCACGGACTCGAATGGGAATTGCCTTGTGCCCACGCCCACCATGCACATGTATAAACTAACAGCTCCGATGACTACCAGAACAAGCAGCCTCCACACAGTTGATATCTTTCTCCACTCCTTCCCGCTGCAAAGATCCTGCCCCCGCGAATTTGCAAAATTCAACACAAAGCTTCTTCTGCCTCCACCATGGCAAACCGCAAAACGGAATACAAAACCGAAAGAGAGAGCAGTGTCTTCGAATACACAGCAAATTTGATGACCGATCTTAATCCAGTCGGTTCAACCAAATCTTGCTACAGTGGTCTAAAATTCGAATAACTAAGAAACTTGCAAACACTTTGAATCGGATTCGGTACCTTCATAGTACTAGCAAAGCATTCATGTCCTCCTTCATATTTCGAATCTGATTGAATTCCTGTCATCTGTGTTCAAATTACACGGATTCCTCAGACTGACCCACCTCAGACGAAGCCCCTTTCTCTTTTCGTTTCGTTTCCTTATGTCTTTTGATGTAACTTGACGTAAAGGGGAAGAGATATTTCACTATGTGGTAGAATCACGACCTGTTCCTCCAGTCTCACTGTGAGCGATGATTTCGGCGATTGTGTAACCTATCATCCTTGTTTCAGATACGGATCCACAAACATTGTAATATTTATTTTTAGAGAAAATGATCCCCAATTATCGACGATGCTAGCGGCGAGCTTGTCCCACAAAGTGCAATTCCACGCCTGAAGACAATCTGCGAATAGAGTTTCGGAAGGACAAACCTGGTGGAATCCATTGCCAGCAGAAGGAACCCCATCTCTGCATCCTTTCTTCTCCACCATAAAGGTCAGTTTTGCAAGAGCACTCGCTTCAAATCACACCAAAAGGCCCATTCACAGAAACCTGAAGGCTAGTCCGCCAGCAGCAGCTCCGACTCCACGGCCGCAGTAGTGGCTGCCATGGTAAAGGCTTCATTCAGCTCCAGATCACCACGAGCTCACAAAACCTGAAAAAAACAAAAAAAACAAAAAAACAAACAAACAAACACAGCACACGATCACCACCCGGAACACAGCAAACACTTCGATCGCAACAGCAGCGTCTCCACTGCGTGGTTCCATGGCAGCCCCAAATTCCAACTTGGCCATCAAACCTGAGCAACGAAGCCGTGTGCACGTACATCACCATCGCCAGCTCCTCCTCCTCCTCGTTGCAATTCCCTGCAGCAGCTTCACGGCCATTGTCGTCCTTCTCCTCCTCCTCCTCCCCACTCGAGGCTTCGAAGCTGCAGGGAGCTTGGTGGTACAATGATCAGTCCTGGTGCATGGCTGGTGTGCAGCGAATGAAGCGAGATGACTCGAAAAAACAACAACAACAACAACAACAACAACAGGACACATACAAGCAAGACAAAAACCAAAATCGAAGACAAAATCCAAAAAAATTACGCTACGTAAAAAGGCGAGGTCAGTGTCGAAATTCCACGCTGATCTCTCTCGTGTCGTTTTGGTCAATTTTTCTTCCTCCTGGAGTCTTCGAATTCAACGTCGATGGTGGGGATGCGATGCTTTTTGATTGCTTCAGCATTGTCGCCCACACCACAACTGGGGCTCTCCCGTTCCGAAGGCCAAAATTCTGACTTTTAGGGTTTGCTATTTGTGGGTGTTTTCAGCGGGAGTGGAATGGATTTTTGTCGGACTTGGAAACTGGAATGGCCGACCCCATCTTGTCGGTGATAAACCCCTTGTTTACTATCAGGAACTTGTTGTATTGTGATAGAAATAAAGCACGATCAATGAAAACATATTGGCGTTGAGGACATCCATGGGAGTTGTTTTCTTTCGACAATCTCCATAGTAAAATGAAGCTAGACTTGGTGGTGTTACTACAGTGTTTCGAAGACGTTTGAGCAAAATTTTGACACTTGTATGTGTGTAGATATATATATATATTTATATGTATTTCGATAGATAGATAGATAGATATCGACATTATTTATTTACTTATTGAAGTTCAAATGAATCTTGTCAAGGATTCCGTTTTAAACAGTTGTTTGCACTTGTATGGTGGCTACAGTGAACGGCATTTAGATACCGAATGTGATGTTGAAAATTATTGTTAAAGTGTAAGATTTTTCCTGTGTACGAAAATACCCCATAAACAATCCTCTTTGCTAGTAAACTCAGTTGGATTGCATAGAATCAAAGGTTCATTTTATATTCATTATCAAAATTTATCGACTGATTGATTGATTGCAATAATCAAATTCACTGCAAGACAGAAACTTCATTACAACATTGGAATTTATGATTATATTACAAATACATATATATATATATATATATATGAGAATGTGTTGTCCCTTGAAGTAGAAAGCAAAGTCGGGTTTAATTTTTTTACTTGATCACATTATAATTACCACTATTTGATTGAAATTCTGGACAAGTATCATCCCTTCAAAAGGTTTAAAAGTAAATAAATAAATCTTTAAATAAAAGATATATATATATATATATATATATATATATATATATTGTTTTATTAAAGTGATTCTGGAAGTGGTAGTTGAAAAGTTTTATTCAAAATCATACAAAACTTCAGTTTACAAATGCATTTTGTACATGGAAGAAGAAGAAGAAGAATTATTTTTTCACATCCTTTGAAAAACAGCAAATAGAGTCATGCTTTGGAAGCTTCTTTCTTCATTTTTTTTATAAAGAAAAATAATGTATGCATAAATATATAAATAAAATAAGAGGTAATTATAGGACCATGAAAAATATGAGCAATTCTAAACCAATAGCATTGGCGCCAAATGAATAACAAACTATTGCTTATCGTGTGTGAAATGCATTGCTTGAATTCAACAATAGTTGCCATGTTTATATGTGTGTATGTATGTGAACTTCATCTCAATTTTTGAAGAAAATAATAAAATGATTAGATAATTTGTGCATGTATCATCACATGGCTTTATTTTCTTTTTCACATATATACAACACCTGGGAAATAATGCACCTTTGGTTCACTTTCCTTTACCCACTTCCATTATAAGTGTGCTCCTTTAGCTACCACCCCATGAGAGCATATTGAAATATGTCCTTGTGATCCCTTTCATCTTTGCCCCACTTGAATCAAAAAAGCTCTTTGACCCCACTTCTTTATAAAAAAGTACAAAGAAAACGGATTGAGACACACGAACTTGGCATGAAATTTGCCACAAAACTCAACATGAAACTCAACATGATCCAAAGGTTGCATATAAAGGAGGATCCATGCTCTCATTCTTTTCATGGCTTCTTTTAGAAGTGGTATTTTTTTGATTTATGGTTTTTTTAATATATGTAAATATTTTGTCTCTACATTGATAGAAATAACAATAATTGATCATAGATTGGGGTAGTTGATGTATTATGTAATATTATATCCACAAATATGTTGGATTTGATATGCATTCACATTGCAATGCATGTTGTATTTAATTGTTTCTATTATATGCATTATGTTGTTTTGGTGTAGTATGAAAGATCATTTTGAAAAAATAATTTTTTTATATCATAATATTATGGGGTGGCTTAACAATAGACCACTATTTTTACTTATGTAATAAAAACATGAGATAATTGTAAAAAAAATACATACAGTTTAAAAAATTAATAAAATAATGATTAAATTAAGAAAATATGAAAAAAAAACACAATTCAATGTTAAATCTTGGATTGAATTTATTTCTATATGTATCTCTTAAATTTCTAAGAATACACAAATATCATGAAATTAATTTAAACTTCAATTTTTAAACCAATATGAATTTCTGCTTTTTAATAATAACATTTTGGGTGAAATACAGAATTAAATAAAATTTCTAAGCAATTTTGTGATCTAACAAAGGCGTCATAATTTACAACATAGAATTAATTGACCTTCCAATCAATTTTTCATACTTAATATTTAAAACACAACTTCCTATGTCTACTATTATATCTCTGTTGCTTAAATCCATGCATTCTAACAAGTTAATTGTCATATGGATTTATTTATTTATACAATACCACCCTGTAGGAACTGAATAACCTATAATTAGAATTCTAAATATTTTTGGAAGTGGTTTTCTGTTCTTTGAATATTACCTTGAGATTCACAAGAAAAAGAAAAAAGAAAAAGAAAAAAAAGAAATCAATAATACATATTTAAAACTGAAAGATGAAACAAAATGTTATTGTTGGCTTTGAGTTCATATATTGTTAGATTGTAGTATTTACAATAGTATATGTTTCAATTTTAGAATATAAAATGTATGTATTTTACACTGTAACATTTGTTAGAATAAGATTAGATTCAAAAATAGATTACTTAGGAGTAAGTGTCAGGGACAAGAACTCGATGAAAGCTAAAGAGTAAGTGAGACTTTTCTCAAAAAGAAATAGGACAAAATAGGAATATGTATATTAAGAAAGAAACTGGAATGGCTATTGCCAAAATACAAGAAAACTAGAGACCCTTGAAACTAGACTAGAAGCAAGAAAGGAGTTGACAAGAGTGAAGAGGGCTTCACTCTTGCCTCTATATATACTATCTAACTAGAAGCCACGTGGCGATGTTCTATAAGACCTCCAATATATGTTGACTTTCTAGGCCACATGCCTTTGCTTGCAAGGCAAGTTTTCTATGGATGGACCACGTAGTTAGCTTGTTCTTTAAGCTTCCAACATGCGTGGCACATGGCTAACTTGTTGACCAAGTTTCTAACCTAAAAGTCAACTATAGACTCCTATAAAGTCAAAGCAGCGTCTATGAAGCTTCTAAGAAGCTTCTCTAGAAGATATTACACAATTAACCTACTTTTACATACTTTTATCTATTCATATAGGTAATTATATGTATGTCCGTGACATTACCCCCCCTTCTAGGGACGAGTTCCACGAGGAGCAGTGATTATATATTGAGAAAATCTAATATGCGGCGAATTGTATTTGCTACATACTCTGATCTTTGTTCTCTTCGAAGATAGTTGATGGGTCCTCTTAGCCATCGATAGTGTCCCATTCCAGGGCGAGAAGACCACCCTGTTATTTGATCACTGTTGAGGCCTTCATAACTTCCTTCAAATAATACATTTGAAACACCATCAAGAGTCGTTTCTATCTCCAATAATATCACCAAACATCGAGAATCTCTTCCAAGGTCGTGATACCAAACGCGTTGTATCTCACCATCTATTCGAGGAAGAACATGTCGTTCTTGAGGGTCTTCATTTCGGTTGCGTCGTCTTGAAGGTTGTGACAATCGCAATGTCTCATCCAGTAAGTCAGCAAACGAAGGTTCTTGAGTTGAATCCGCTGGTTGTTGGCTCTCCATCTAATTAGCATCACAAAATGCAAAGAAGTTACAAACAAGGATAGGAAATTGAATGTTATCTTGCCTCAATCTTGTCTCTTTTATAAGAGAGGTTTTCATCTTGGTTTTGATGGATGTCGTTGATGAAAAACTTTGACTTTAGCTGATGCATTTGCTAGATTCCTGGATGGCTCCCATGTGCGCTCACTAATATCATATCCGCCTCAATGAACAAGATATTCCAGCTTATTTCGGCGCCGCCTTGAGTCTAATATCTCTTCCACCTCAAATTCTTCATTATTATCTACTTCTATAGGAGGCGGTGGCATTTGTCTTCTTCCTTGTATATCCACTGTCTTATATGGTTCAAGAAGAGACACGTGGAATACAGAATGGATCTTCATTGACTCCGGTAGATGTAACCGATATGCAACTGGGTTGATCTGTTCAGAAACAGAAAAGGGGCCAAGCCTACGATAGTCCAATTTGTCACAAGGTCGAGTGGTCTTGATATTGCGACGAAGTAGCCATACCTTATCACCCACGTTGAGTTGTGGTTGCTCTTTACGATATACATCTGCATTTATCTTTTGTCGTTCTTGAGCTTTCTTCAACTGCGCCTTCATTATTGCATGTAACTCTGACAACCGATTTGCCATATCTTCTGCTGCAGGATTATCAACTTTTGAAAAATCAAAAGTATCAAGTCGTGGATGATAGCCATAATTGGCAAAGAAAGGTGTTTGTTGCGTGGAGGAATGTACCGTATTATTATAAGCAAACTCTGCCAATGGCAGAAGGTTTGTCCAATCATCTTGTTGGTAGTTGATGGTACACCTTAAATACTGTTCCAAGACTTGGTTTACGCGCTCTGTTTGTCCATCAGTTTGAGGATGGAAAGCTGAAGATAGCTTTATGTCCACTTTTAAAATCTTGAAAAGAGTCCTCCAGAATCTCGACACAAATTGAGTTCCCCTATCCGATATGATATCTTTAGGTAATCCATGATAGCGATAGATATTATCAATGAAAAGCTTAGCTGTTTCTTCACCTGTGATAGATTTTGTACATGGCATAAAATGTGCCATCTTGGTGAAACGATCTACTATCACAAATATAGAATCATAAGATCTTGAGTTTGGAAGATCTGTGATGAAATCCATAGAAACAAAAGACCATGGTTGTTCTGGTATAGGTAATGGCTGAAGAAGTCCGTAAGGTCGATGTCGAGGAATTTTTGATCTTGAACAAATATCACATGATTGTACAAAGTCTTTGACTGACTTCCACATTTGTGGCCACCAAAAATCTCTTGATATGAGTTCCAGAGTCTTATTATATCCAAAGTGCCCTGCT